ATTTGTCAAATTACACTTGTTTAGGGCACTGGAAACGAGACGCGGCCAAGATGCGCGAGGCGACATGCGCGGGGACATCAACATCAAAGATTCCGACATCGAGTGAGACTTCTGGTCTTATTATTTATTTTGTGTCCCAGGGCTTATGGCAACGCAGGCAGCCGAGAAGCCCTGGGAACGAGGATGCGCGTGAAGCGTATACGCACTCAGTCCAATCTCCAATATAAATTTTCCGAATTATTTTTGAGCAATAATCTTATATTCTGTCAATAATCTTCATAATAGTCTTTATGATAATAGTTATAAATTATTTATAATAATAATAACAAATTATTGTTAAAAGTAATGTTTACCACTTCGTAAAGTTTGTAGAGCCCAAGCCCCCAGCGCGGTCGGCAGCTTGTAAAAAAGCGCGCGAAATTTTAGAAGTCAAAACAAAATGGCGCGTGGTAGGTTCGCTTCTTCAAACAAATTTTAAAGAGGAATTGATAAGATTCATCACTTCAAATTCTTGTCAGAAAAAGTCTGTGACAACGCCAAAGAGGGTCACGAAACAAATCAAAGCTATCTTCGGCAGGTATTTATATATTTTTGCCTTTCCCAGCTATCTAGTATCCACTGCCACTGGATAATGAATTTTTCAAGCTTTCCTAAATTCTCCGTTGAGTACGTGATATGACTCGTATTATTAAACTTTAGTATACAAAATTCAAGTTGCCTTTTATTAATTATAGAATCCACAACTATGGTGGCCCAGGCGTGCCATAGAAAATTTTGATATCTTTTTATTTTTAAATATATATTTTTAAAAATATTTTTATTTTATTTTTTTCCAAACAAAATTAATTTCTAAACTCTGTTTTTTTTTAATTCATAAAGTATTTTAATGCAAAATATTTTATACCCTTGGCCCAGGTGTGCCATTAAAAAACAACAAAAAAACGTCGTGGCCCAACGTGCCAACGGCCCATGCATGCCAATTACTGCTGTCCATATAATTTTGAGATCGCAGGCTCGCAGGGCACCATAAACAAAATGGCCGATCAGGGATGGCAAGATATCTATTAGGGGCAAGAAGACATTGAGCTTAAAGATGACTTACAAAAATATGTTGAAAGTAACTTACAAAGAAAAGAAATTTTAGATTTTGTAAAGGAAAGTATCCACTATATGCTTGCAGGGCCTTTTTTAACATACAATTTTGCAAGCTGGGGGGGGGCAAATGCCCCCCCCAGTCCCCCCTTGTGCCCCCATTCATCACATTTTGCCCCAGGAAAAGTCCCTTTTCCCTAAAATTATAGAAACAAACCAGCGAAGATTAATGTCTCTTTCTTAATGGTTCTATTTGGCTGCTGAAGCATAATTTAAGAGAGGTCAAATACACAATTTGTGCATATTTTCAGAATTCAAAAAGTGAGAGTCATGGACACATAACCCTTAACTCTTTTGAGCATTCATAACTTCAGCTCCAACATTTCCATGGCAACTACATATCGAACATCTCGGCAAAGGTTAGGCCATCAAAGCTAATGACTTAGCTTTATGATGTATAAAACCTTTGCAAAGACATATATGAAATGTTTTTTGAAGCTTTTCAAGATTAAATTGTATAAATGTATACTTAAACACAACAAAAACATCTCACATTACAGATTAGATGACAAACAGTACATGTTCTAAAGCTTGGTTCACACTACCAATTTTGTAGTTGATTTTCTATTCTTGATGGATGCAAATGTGTGAACTTGCACACAAAACTATAGAATATTTTATTGCTATTCAGAAATATATATTTCTTAGTCTAAGTAGGGCACATTGTGGCTCAATGGGTTAACCTAGAGACATGGTCAGATTTTTTGGTAAAGCATTGAGCTGCAGAGCTTCCCCATTGATGAGTAAAATTGTCTGGTGTTAGATAGTCTGGCATAATGGAAGTGAACAGTTTTGTTCATGATGTATGATTCCAATAAAAACTTGCTTTCTGTTAAGATGTAAATTATTACAAATGTTGACAGGTGACAGATATATTCATCAGTGGTATGTCTGTTACATCTGTACATCCAAAATGGTCATAAAATTTATATTTATTCAGCCTTCACCATATATAATAATATCAATATTACTAGGGGTGGATCCAGCATGATCTGGTGGTGGGGTGCTCTGCCAGCTCTGGTGCCGAGTTGTGTCGGTGATGTGTGCTGCCCACCCATCAACTTGCTTCGCTACTGCAAAGTCTTGCTTGACTACTGTATTTGAATTGTAATTGTTCACAGTTCGCTTATCATCATGTTATTACTGAAATTACTGTATCTCATTTTGTCTCTAATAATTTTTTGTTTTATCATGAAATATAGCAGAACCCCCTGCACCCCCTCTGGCCAGGGCTAGGGGGGTGCACCCCCTCTGGCCAGGGCTAGGGGGTGCACCCCCCCCCAGTAAATCGACCCTGAATATTAATAACAACATGGATACAATACATACATTACATTATAAATATATAATACTACTGTATACTAATGACAATTGCTGTGAAAGCACCACAACAGTTAAAACCAATTACTGTGGGCCTTTTAACAACAAACGTCTAGAAACAGCAGTTAATAACATAGTTCAAACTTCGACAACCTTTATAGTTTAAACACAGATTTCCATGTTCTTGCATCCTCTGCATCAATGCAGGGCTTTCGAGTAATAGTCTCCTAACAATCTCTTAAATGTATTTGTACTTTAAGAATGTGTTAGGTTCTCTTAAGTCTGCTGGAAGACAGTTTGTTACACATGAGAAATACAAGCTTTGGAAAGTGCTAGACAAAGTCCTGCTTTCTGTGGGTGGAAGGATAAAATGTTGGTACCAGATGATCTGGTCATTCTTGTGGGAATTATGGGTTTGGGGACAACATCTTCAGATATGTCCACCATACCATTAACTGAAATGTCTTTGGGCTATCCTTCAACCAACTTGGCTACCAAGATGTATAGATCTCATATTCCAGTGTGGAAAGTTTGTATCGCGCGGCGGATATCTCCGGCGCGCAATTTTGATGCTTTCTATATATTTACTATTAAATTTTCGAAATCTCCGGCGCGCAATTTCCAAACTTTCCAGTCTGGCTCATATTAAATCTGTAATGCAATAATATTCCTTTGTCCTGAAGTGTTGCACACAAATACGCCATGTTTTATGAATGTCAAACAAGCCATGAACCCAACTGACTCAATATTGTAAAAATTAATTTTGGGTGCAAATCAGCCCAATGAAATAATATCTTCTTTCCCTGAAATCAGTCCATTCTTCATACTGGTCATTGCCTCATTGGGTTCCATCAGCTATATACAAGACACAAATAGATAAATTTCAAGTACAATATTAAAAACATCGACAATAGCGTCTGGTTGCCTGCTGCAATTTTAAATACAAGAATAGAGTTTCCTTAATAAAGCTCTAGAACTCAGGCATTGTCTTCAGTGCCATCAGTGATATATTTAATATATTAAATATGTCATTGCAAATTGCAGAGAAATTACCTTACAAAGACTTTTCTCGTGACTAAATACAAAGCAGTTAGATCTAGTGTAATGGTTCAAACATTAAATGAACATTCCCATGCATAAAATTGTCAAAGACAGCTATAAAACTTACTTGATTCGAAAACGCTTCAAATTCATATAATTGAATCGATTATTGTTCGACACTCACACCCGTTTTATCCAGTATAAATGCGCGGAATTTCATCCATTACACCTTATTATCATTTAGAAATGTGTGTTCTTTCATCCCCTATCATTTTTATGGCGATTCGATGAAATTTGAGCGTTTTATTGAAGTTTTCTTGCATCGACTCGGTGTTTCGCCATACAATTTACTATTAGCTTGCTGCGGTTTTACTTGCAAGGAAGATGGCGGACCTAACGCATGCGCAGTGGAAAAAAGGTGCCATGTCGCACACGAGAGTGGGACTTCTGTATAGGTCCTTATTCTGTGGTAGAAATATTTATTTTGAATTTTTCAATGATGCGGGTTTTACTCGCACTTGCGTACATTGCGCAATAATTGGCCAATAAGAAGCTCCTGTGGCCGGGATGACGTCAAACGCACGCGTGTAGGTGCACAATCTGACCTTGCGAATCCATTTCTGGCCTTTGCAGGGTCATACAATACAAGCTTCGCATTGTTTTGACGATTTTCAGTCGTATTTCCGGTTGGGATTAACTCTCTTCGAGCTCACAGTCGGACAAGAAATGGAAATATATTGATAAAATATACAGATTTGAAGATACAGGCTTGCAAATAACACTCTAAATAGTGTTTTTAATGGGGATTCGAACAAGACTATTACAAAGACGATATGTTCGAAGGGGCCGAAGTTATTTTCGGCGAAAGGTATGGCTAAGTTTATATTTTTGTTCAGACAATTGCGTAATTTGATACAATATGATCGTGTTTGACTTCAAAGGCCCATAAATCGCTACAATATTGATAATGACTATAGCTATAGTGACGAATTAGTTGAATCTTTTATTTCTGAATCGAATGGTGGTATTTCTGTCTTCATAGCATGCACCGAACCGAAGATATGAACATCCAATCATTCATCCGCTAGCGGATGAATGATTTGGGATTTGCCGTCAAAGAGTTAATGAGAAAAGTAAAAAAAAACACGTCATCAAATTCAGGAAGACTTGCTCTTTCTGTTGGTTCTTTAAAACGCTAGATCGCTCCTCCAAATCGACAAGCAATCGCGGTTTGAAAATGGGGTATTTTTGCTATATTTTAATGCCGATGGCGGGAATAGACGGGTGTTGATCCTTATGGCGCAAAGGAAATTATTTTCTATATCTTTGAAATATACGCATGTAGTTGTTACATATTTTGAGTGTAATGTTACCTTTACAATTAAGGTCAGAATGTTAGTTTACTGTATCGACTGTATTTTTGTCATTTTGTTATAGAATTCGGACATGGAATCATGCAGATAGTAGTGATGTTGTCATTGTTAGTGACGAATGAAATGATACTGCCATATTAAAAGCGAGTATATATGGGAAACCTAATAATAAGAGACACAAAATTTCACGTTTGAAGAATTCAACATCAAGTCGAACTTTGTTTCAGAGTCCTGGAACATCACCAAAGGTATAAAAGTACAAAGATTTTTACAAACATAAAATACAGTACGACTGTACAAAAACATTGTATTTTAAACCCTTTAAGTGGCAATACGCCCTGATGCACCCTACTTTAGTATTTTACTCTGTCTAACGCTAGACCATTTTACTCCTCAAGTGGAGAGTGCTGCCACTCAATGGGTCAATGAGACAATGAGATGTTAATGGGGGGGGGCTAAAAGTTATTATCATAGTAACAATAACATTGTATTTTAATGCTTTTTTGCCTGTGAGAATTTCTGTCCATAGGCGTACCAGGCTGGGGGTTGCAACCCTCCAGTCAGTGTTCAGTTGGGCAGGATTCTGCTTTAAAAATTGGGCAATTGTTTTAAGATTGACTTCAAACAGAATTTCTGCAAGTCTGCATAGGAGTTATGTTCCTTCTATTTTATACCTCTTGTTCATCTATAAATAAACTCATGACAATGTCGGGCAATTTCTGTCCATCCGTACGCCAATGATATTTTTCAATGCTGGGAGTGGCATTTCAGAAAACCTATAGTGCACAAATTTCCTGGAGAAGCATGCCCACAATCCTGGTAAAAATCCATGAGTTTCTTTGTTGTTGTCTAATGGTGCTGGTAGGCAGCCTGGCACTGACATTGCCGGATTGCCCCTCTCACTTTTGCTGTTTGTTTTGTAGTTTCCTATCAGACAGATTAAACTGACTCCTCCAAAGAAATTCCCAGTAAAACTTCATAAATGGACATATTTTGAAGAAGATAAAGCATTCATTGAATTCATATCTGTTGCAGACAATCGTGCAAATGATTATGATTGAAGAGGGTTACCAATTATGTAATATCTCTAAAGCAAAAGCATCACCTTTCATATACTTTATCATATACCATTCATGTGTACTGGTGAAATCAATGTGATGCAACATTTTAAAAACTTCTCTTTACTTTTGCACATAAAATTTTATTTTTAAAAACATTTAATTATCTTTAAGTACAGTAATATTATGTTAATATTTTTTTTATTTAAAATAAATCAATTTTATCAACATCAATTATGTAGTGTGTGATCTTTTTATTAATTTGTGATGAGCAAGGGAACACTACACTGAAAACCATACATACTGTGAACCTCCGAATATAAGCCCCTGTGTATAAGCCCCCCCCCCCATGTATAAGCCCACCACATGTACTAACGCTCACCTCATTCCAAATATAAGCCCCACCCTGATTATAAGCCCCCCTCATTGTCTTTATAGCTTACAATGTTAATCAAAGTGTGTTATTAATACATGTTTATTTTCCTGTTTATGACTGACTTGTTTATTACTAACACAAAAGATTGTCCATGTATAAGCCCCCTTGTGTAAGCCCATCAAAAATTGTTTACGAAAGAATATAAGCCCAGGGCTTATAGTCGGAGGTTTACGGTAGATTGTCAAAAAACTGCAGAACTGATAAGATGGTGTCCATGGGATACAATACTTATGGTATAATGGGTCATTCCAGAAAACATCCATACCACCCCCACAGAGGAAATAGGAAGTTAACCCCCCTACCCCCTTCGGATGTCCTAATACATTTACTATTATCAGAAACAAATTTTTCTCCCCCCCCCTCCGGACAGCAGAACTTTCCTCCGTGGGGGGAGTATGGATCTTTTCTGGAACGACCCAATCAGGGAAGTGACGAAAACACACAGTACAGGAAAACCGGGGTAGGGCCAAGACTGTACCACTACAGGTTCCCCAGCTCTATCCTTACAAAAAAAAGAAATGTCAGTATTACACCAGACACCAATATACAATTTTGCAGCTTCTGCTAAACATTTTGTTTCAATGTTTTTTAACCCATTGAGTATTGGAGTGTCAGTACTCTCCCCCTGATGAGTAAATAGTCTAGTGTTAGACAGTAAAATAATCTGGCGTTAGGCAGAGTGAAATAATAGACAACTGGTTGATCATTTACTGTCGTTCCAATTGAAGTGTTGCTCAAATATTGATTCAATACATTACCTCGGGCTGACCAATTCATTTGATCAAGTTCCTCGAGATATTCATACACTTCCTGTGAAAGAGCCAATTCCAAGTATTTGATCATTTCTGGTCACTTCCTTTCTATTTATGATTGGTTAGTTGCACAAACAACAAAGGTGATTGGTGCATTCAAACTATTCAACAGGAAGTTTACAATTATATTAGGAAGTGTATGAATATCCCGAGGAACTTGATCAAATGAATTGGTCAGCCCGAGGTAATGTATTGAATCAATATTTGAGCAACACTTCAATTGGAACGACAGTAAGCATGGATAACTGGTTGATCAGTATAAATCCTTGCAATGCATCACACAGTAGTCAATACATTTATATATAGTGTCATAATAGTGCTGAATCGCCTCCATTTCATTTTCTACAATGCTATCACTGGGTGCTTCTTCCATCATTTGGTGTGTATGAATGTGTGTCAGGGCAAACAGGATTTATTGGTAAATTAAAACAGCTACAATCAGTTGGCTGATGTAATTCTATTGGTGGAAGTACACTATCCAACTCGTCATCTTGACTATTTGGGATGTTGGTGATGTTGAAATGTCAAACTCCCAACATAACATTGTTATATTCTTCGTTTATACCTCCTTCTCGTGGAACATTAGGGTCGAAGAACTACATGATATGAAATAAAAATACGTTTTTAATAATACTGCGGTATTTTTAATACAACATAGGAGGATTTTTGTACTTTTATTTAATATAAAAATCATCTCACCTTAAAAACACAACTAGAATGAATTTGTACCAGTGCAGGACTACCGCAATCAGCGAACAAATTCATCAATTTTTATCCCGTTAACCACAGCTGGACAAAGGACTATTCATCGAACTATCCATAGAACTATAAACATGAACCTCACGACATTCAAGTTCATCACACGGTAATCCTTCCGAAATTAAGAATAAAGGTTGTTTTGACACACAGTGAACACACCTCAGAACACACAGAAGCTCGTGTCCACCCAAAAACGAAGCTTTCTTTCCATGCATAGTGCAAAAATTCACCATTTTACAATTTTTTTTCTATAAATCTTTTCTGAACTCTTGAAACCTCGAGGTGTAAACACAGCGAAAGCCGACCGAACAATGACGGCGCAGAGCGACAAATCGATAATATGTAAAAAACCGCGCCTGACCGCGTTGCATGCCGGTATAGTCCTCACTCCTCCTCTGGGAGGAACGCAAAAGCAATGGTGGCTACTAGCGAAGCTCGGAACCAATGTCTGAAGTCTAAAGTCTAAAGTCCAAAGTCCAAAGTCTGAAATCCGAAGTTTGAATTCTGAAGTCTGAAATCTGAAGTCTGAAATCCGAAGTCTGAAGTCTGACTGTCAAACATTGGTTTCGAGCTTCGCTATAGTAGCCGCCAACATTACTTTTGCGTTCCTCCTCTTAGAATCACTTTGTTTTTGCTTTATTCTTTAGTTTATACAGTTAGCTACATTTTTAAATGCATCTATACTACCGGTTGAGAAACATAAAATCATAGTTAAAAATTGTCAATTAAAATACAACAAGACGCCTACTCAGGCGTTCACTCCGGGTACAGGGCATTAACTAACGACGCAAAGCTACTTTAACGTAGGCCTACTATGCTTATATGCGGCAATGAAGGTATCTTTAATGCATGATATTCAATAGCATATTAGAGTTGGAAAAGTGGGAGAACTACAGCGTACCACTTGACCAGGTGACTAAAAACATATGCAATGATCATAATATTTTATAACATAAAAATAAAAGGACATTGTGCCATTGATTATCTCTAATAAAAGCTATATCTAGTTCTTTAGAGTAGGAGTGTTTTTTCGAGTCGTATATAATAAGTCGGAGGCCGTATTTTACAAATATTTTATGTTTTTTTTATTGTCGAGGGTAGAGATTCGAGGGTGAAAAGCTTGAGGATACATTTTAATAATTTAACAAAATAATAATTTAAGTTCGTGTTCACTTACTTTACTTTTAATTTTTAGCTCTTATTTTTATATGCAATTATTAATTTTTTATATGCGATTACTTTTTATATGACAAAATATTACTACATAAAAATAGACATGCCGATCAAAAGCTACAGTCGACATAGTCTCAAACGGCGTGGTGGATTATCTGCGTTATCTCGGATTGCATGTCGCAAAATATTGTGTCAGTCTATTCACTATATGGTTTATTGAATCAGAGTAATCAGGACTTGTTTGCATTGCCATACGCCTTTTCCGGGTTCGCGACGCCATCTTCAAAGTATTGTTTTCGCTATTGTACATTGCAAATTTATCTATAGGGAATGCCCGCAAATTTCTACCCTCGACAATAAAAACCATAAAATATTTTAGAAATACGACCCAGACTTTTTATATATGACCCTCGACTTTTTTATATGACCCTCGACTTTTTATATATGATTTTTCGACCCTCGCTTCCCACCCTCGACCCTCGAGAAGAACTCCTGAAACTGAATTACTAAAAATAGCTAACGTAAACAAACCACATTTATCAAAGGTTAGATGGAAAACACGGAGTCGGAGTTCCGGAGTCCGAGCCCCGGAGTCGGAGTCCCGGAGTTGGAGTCCCGGAGTCTCACGTCATAAAAATATGGAAAACACGGAGTCATATGGAAAACACGGAGTATGACGTCATAAAATATGCAAAACACGGAGTCATATGGAAAACACGGAGTCATATGGAAAACACGGAGTCTGACGTCAGAGAAAAATATGGAAAACACGGAGTCTGACGAGTTGTCAGCGTGAAATATGGAAAATAGTAATTAAATAATATATCATTTATGCGAAATATATTAACGAATTGGAAATTTTCTGCACTAATTCTGGTATTTCTCTAAAATGTCGTGAAAATATGGATTATTTATTTTTAAATACAATCAAGCAAATAATATTGTTTCTCTTGTCGTGTGACTTGTTCAGTTGTACAATATTTGAAGTGATTTTAATGCGGATTTTGTTCACCTCGCGTGGTATGTTGATAAAAATATAGTTTATATACTTAATACTGCTAGAATATTTCATAGTCGATTGGCATGTAATATTTATAACACACAATATCTTGACACAAAACAGATATGCTGCTTGAAAACAGCGTTGTTATTTAGGCCATATAAGTAAATATAGAAATTTTGTATTTCATAAAGTATTACTGACAATGCTTTTGAAAGGGATAATTTTAAGTGAAACCCACCTGTTAATAAAATTGTGAACTGATGATGCAGAACCACTGGGATAGGGATATTGCTAGGAATACTGCTAGGGATACTGCTAGGGATTGTGGTGCACTAAATTTACTATTATGGATTGTTTCATTTATATAAACAGTACTGGAATGCTCTGAATGGTTGTACAATAAGCAAAATTTGCCTTAGTAAAGTAAGCCAGTATCTAGGCTGGCTTGCATTACATATAAACATCCCCTATAATCCTACTATAGTTGGAAAAAATTAAGAAGTAAATTTCCCTTCAATATATGCAATTTGTAGTTATAGTTGTATATATATAGGCACAAAAATGGCTGAAATAGTTTAAAATTCAATAAAATGTCATTAGGTCATTCCAGAAAACATCCATACCACCCCCACGGAGGAAATTGGAAGTTAACCCCCTACCCCCTTCGGATGTCCTAATACATTTACTATTATCAGAAACAATTTTGTCTCCCCTCCCCCTCCGGACAGCAGAAATTTCCTCCTGGGGGGTGTGTGGATCTTTTCTGGAACGACCCATTGTGTTGACATGAAAATATTCTACCAACTGTTTTTGTAGCCATAGGTGTTAATTTAAACCATGCAATTAATGCTCAATATATCTCACATAGATTCATAGTGACATACAAGTCTATGCCACTACACCCGTACTGCAAATCTGCATTCATAGTTCATACGATTGAGCATCTCATGGTTTAAATTAACACCTATGGCTACAAAAACAGAATATTTTCATGTTAACACAATGACATTGTATTCAATTTTAAACTATTTCAGCCATTAATTTCCGTGCCTATATATACAACTAACTACAAATTGCATATATTGAAGGGAAATATGTTTCATTCTAGATTTGTTTTACTTCTTAATTTTTTCCAACTATTGTAGGATTATAGGGGATGTTTTATATGTAATGCAAGCCAGCCTAGATACTGGCTTACTAAATTTACTAAGGGCCTGTTTATATGGAAGCCAGGCTGGCCCGCTAAGCGAAACAGCCCGGTAAACGAGATCTCGCTGTGTAGTTATTTTTATAGTAAAAATTATTGTGCGTTTATATGGACTCGCTTGAAAGAGGTGAGATCTCGCTTACCGGGATGGATATTTCTCCATATAAACACTCACAAGCAGGCTAGGCTGGTTGCCGTGATAAAAGTTCAAAGATACCGCCGCAAGCTATTTTTAACAACTGTCAAAACAATACAATGTAACAAAATTGTTCCGGCAAGCGGGATGAAATTTTCTCATATAAACACGAGAGACTAATTCATCCCACTTACCGGGCTGTCTTGCTAAGCGGGCCAGCCCGGCTTCCATATAAACAGGCTCTACGGCAAATTTTGCTTATTGTACAACCATCCAGTATGAGCATTCCAATATTTATAATGAAACAATCCATAATTGATATTTTACAAATCAACCATTTGCCTATAACTACATGAATGTGGCAACACTATTATTCTGTTCTTTATAACTTAATTGCTTGGACAAAAATCTACGAAAACAGTAAATTTAGTGCCCCACAATCCCATTGTAAAATCGTCTGGCGTTAGGCCATCCTCGGTCCCAGGGCCTCACGGCTGACACTGCGTTGCCGGAGGCCCTGGCGAAAACCAAAACGAGAAGCGATTTGATTGGTCGCATGAAAACAATGGAATGCGGAAATTGAACACGAACTTTTACTAATAAATATGGCTGACAATAGGAGTAGATAGGAGTGTATTAACTCTTCAAAGAAGACGAAGAGTCGTTTTGGTCATTGAAATCTGCTGTCTATCAATGGAAATTTTATTTTTAATATAAAAAATGTTGGATGTTGTGTTACAATGTATTAAAAAGCTGCACAAAATTGGACATTGGATTATTTAAAGATTGAAATCGTCAAATCGTCGAAGCCGAAGGGACATTTTATAGTTTTATATACGAGATTTAATTATATACAGAGTATAAACAAAGACAGGCGAAAGGCTATGCGAGAAAGACTGTACCGTTAATTGTACAAATCTACAAAAATTGTGAGTGATGTCTTGCATCTTTCAATTACAAATGAGAAAATCGTGAATGAGTGTATGTGTGGTTTTTAAAGCAAGAGGGGTCCATGCCATACATAATATTATATTAAATATAGTATATTATAAAATATAGATTATTTTATAATATACTATATTTAATAGACATACTTTATTGATTTTATATCAATTTCATCAAAGGCTCTTAATTTATGTAAAAATATTGTATTTTATATCAAATGTATTTAATAATGAAATATTGTATTTTAATACTATTTAATAATGACAAAGTGATTAATATAATTAGCTGGAAATGTTAGTTCTTCCACCTTGTTTTGCCTTAAATTTCATGCAATATATAGCTTAATTTATAGGCTATCAATGTTTTTTTACAGTTGACAAATTATATTGTTAATAGTAATACTGCAACTTTGCTACACTGGTGATGAGCCTCCTAATTTTATGCTGTATACATACATTCAGTATTAAGTAATGTGTCAACATCTGAGAAACTAACTTCTGAATCTCTTACATGCAGTTGACATATTTTTTATAAATTATAGTGCTAGATTTCAAGGTTTAATTAGTCACCATAGGCACAGGAGGAAAGTTTTGAAATTTAAAATTGAGGAGCACTTCATGTCAACAGCACCAAATTTATTATTTGTAAACTTTTGAAGAAAAAATGGGCAAGGCAGAGGCAGTGCAAGGATCAGGTATGGGGGGGGGCTGTAGCTCCCCTATGTGGAAATTCTAGCCCCTCCCCAATCAGGGAAGTGGAATGTACTGGGAAAAATTATGTTTTGTAATGACCTTGTTTTGTAGTCCTGGTAAATGCACTGTTACAGACAATAAATTCTGCACCATTTCATGAGAGCCAAAAAATTAAACATTTTCATGTGTGAGCATAAGTTGAACATACAAAACAATAATTTTACTGTTTGAAAGATTATAGCCCCCTGTTGGGAACCTGATATTCCTTGTCGGGAAACCTGATATTCCTTGTCGGGAAACTCCTGGAGCATCCGGCCTCCACACACAAGCACACTGGTACCCACACACCTCCATTTCCTACACCATGCACTGCAATATTAAAGCACAGCATGGATGCACCATAAAGCTGTTATTTATTTTTTACAGTATCTTTATTAACACACCAAATTTTCATAGAGGAAATTGTAAGAATAAATCATTATTTATATCAATGACACAAAATTGTTTATTTTGTTCATGTAATTTATCTCTTTCTCTGAGTTGATGAAATTTCTTTCTTTCTCTGAGTTCATGCAACTTCTTTCTCTGAGTTGATGAAGAAACAAACTTCCCGACATACCAATCCTTTCATAGCAAGGCCTGAAATCCTTCCTAAAGTAGTAGTACAATGTTTATAAATTAAAACAATCTTTAGCCAAAAATTTTAGGCCAATCATAATTTAACAGCAACATGGATAATTTTATGATTGAAAATGGCTGGCAAGAAAATACATATTTCAAGTCATATATATGTATTAAACTGTACAATATGATACTAGCTTGTAGTATGCAGTCACATATGATACCTTACAGGTAGTTGTATATCCTACAAACAATCGTTATCTGGGGATACCAAGATTAAGGTGGGGGTAGGGGTGAGGGGGGGGGGTAGGTGGGATGCACATAATATTTCAGGTTTTTATGCTCATTGTCTCTGTCTAAATGCCGCATTTTACATGTGCCAAATCTAATGTGAATTTACATGGTTTGACTCAAATAATAAAGTTTGACTCAAATAATAAAGTTTGACAATTTGATTTAAATGTTGAATTTATGTACATACCGGTACGTAGTAAACATATGTAACTTATACATTTGTCCAAAGTGGCAAAGTAATTACTTTGCAATTATACCCACTCTCCCCTTGATGAGCAAAATTGTCTGACATTAGACAGTAAAGTACAATAGATAATTTGATTAACCCATTGAGCAGCAGGCCTTAAAATATCTTTTACAGGGCCGTCTGACAAAATGTCCGGTGACGTTTAGTTTGGGTCGGACATATGTCCGATGACCTTCAGTTCAGTTTTGACTTGGAAATAAGTCTGAATTACACAAATGAATAAACGGTAAATGTTGTAAAGATGTTAAATAATTTGTTTCTTTCATACCTATTTCCAAGCCAAAATTAACTTGCTTGCCAGAATAGCAGTGTTAAAAAAGACTTCGACAACTTAAGCCCATTTTCCACTTCACCATTTCGCTCGCCGCCCCGCGCTCGACTACGTTAAAACAACATTTCCAGTTCACCTTTTATACAATAGTACTCTGATTTTCCATTTAACATTTTGATTTACGTCGGACAAAGCTACAGTTCGGTCGGACACCAATTCACTTGGGTCGGACAAACAAGAAACCTCAGTTTCACTTAGGTCGGACAGAATGTCCGGTGGTTTCCTCTCTACGTCGGAAAATTTCACGAATGGGTCGGACAATGTCCGTGACCGACCGATATTTTAAGGCCTGGAGCAGTAGCACTCTCGCATTGACCAGTACACTCAATCATCTGGCATGTTAAGCTGAGTAAAATAATTTGGTAGCACTTAAAAGGTTGAACAAACTTTTCTAGACTTGGCACATGTAAAATGCAGCGTTTAGACCGGACGTATTAAACAGAATATATGTTGTCTGTATGTACATGTATACAGTCTTGCAGATAATATAGCAAAGAAAGAATATTGAGAAACAACCAAATATATCAGTATCACTCACTCACCATTCAGTAACAAGATTGGCTTCGTCCACAACTATCGCTTTTAAATTGTCTGTATATTTCGTCGATTATAATAAAAATTCAAAAACTTTCATGTTCTCCAGTTGATTGCTGTCCGTATTCAACGACTCTCCCAAACTACACATTGTATCCTTCGATTGATGACTTGAACAGCTTTCATAATTGAAACATTTACATGATCCTTTAGTTTACTGATTTGGTCAATCATTAAAACATTTAATGGTGAAATAACCAGATCAAATTAATGTTTATCTTGCATGCAAAATTATTTCTTTCGAGAAATTCTCAAAGTTCACTCCTTGCAAAAAAAGATGCAGAGTCAGCATTTTATTACGTTTACTTCCGGCAAACTACAAGATTTTTGAAGTTCCGGTTTTGGTTTTCGCCAGGGCCTCCGGCAACGCAGTGTCAGCCGTGAGGCCCTGGGACCGAGGATGGCCCGTGCCCAACAAATTTCGGCGGCCATCTTTCTTCTCTTCCACTTTGAACACAGAATATTCCATTTTCATCACACAAAATAAAAAAATAATAATTATAAAACAATTAAAAACTGTTTTTGAATATAAACTAGATCGAGCCTGACACCGAATATGCGCACGTCAACCGTTTACTTTTGATCGACGGTACTTGTATAATAAAAAGCATACATTCACAATTAAATACTTCATCGATTACCCATATTAAAATGCATTATTATTACACTGGCTTAATTTTTGTAAGAGTACTGACAGTAAAGTCGATAGATGCAAGATAACAAGCTTCACAATCATAGTGGCTTTTGGCAGTTTTGTATATTATACGTGTTTTTTAAAAGCCCCATTTTCTCATTTTCCAACGTGCAAAACGCTAAAAATCTTTATTCATAATAACAAATTAAAAATTTGTAATAGTAAACAATGTATTTTATCATAAAGAATTATGGTTGTTCTACTGCTCCGTACTCCGTGTGCTCCGTGCTCCGTACTCCGTGTGCCCCGTGTTTTACTAATAGCCCAAAGAATACAACACTCTGGCTGACTTGGCTCAATTGTTGCAAGGCATTTTTAATACCATGAACTGGTGGGGCATTTGCCCCACTGGTCCCCTTCCTCTGCCCCACCACTGAAGAAAAAAAATGGCTTATTTCCCCAAACTACTAGGACCTGTATTGAGTAAATGAGTTTAACATTATTTGAAAAGAAGTTTAGAAAACAAAATTTGTTGGTGAGCATACTTAACAGCTGTGTTAAATGTTTAGAATGTTTGTTTTGAGAAGCTGAGATTTTTTAAAATGTGTTCTCAGAATGCAGGAAATGCTATTTCAGAGACCCAAATTTAAAACATTTCCTGGGAGGCATGGCCCCCAGACCGCCCCCCCTCCCCTAGCTAACTCGTGCCGCCGCACTCGGCTCACATTTTCGGCGATCACATACTATCCTGGGAGGAGGGCAAGGAATGGGCCCTTTGGCAGTTTTGCCCCACCATTGAAGAAACCTTAAAGAGGAATGGATGGCTATATATATCTCAACGGCGGGTGACCAGACGATGCCTTGAAGTCCTTGAAGTGATCGAGTTTGATGGTTTCACCAATTATTAAATCATTGATGAAACATTACTGTTGTTGTGAAATTTAAATAAAGTCATTCTTGTTAATTTTGAAATTGGGTATTTTTGTATTCAATGGAGACTAAGTCATTCTTTAATGATTAGCAAGAATGATCCCATTCTTCAGCAGGGATTATTCTAAGGAAATTTTATCACTGCGAAAAATGATCAAATTTATATAACTTTAGCGACATTTTAGAAAACGTTCTGACTGCCCTGCATAAGTGCATGTATATACAGCACTCTGGTTCTGCAACTTAAAGTTTGCCGCATGCATGTCACTAATTATATGCAGGCAAATGAGCTAAAATCACCGCTAATGAGTAATGAGCCCAAATCTGCATGCTGCATATTCTATCACATGCAAAAATATACACATTTTCACTGAATATTTTTTGAATCGCATGCAAAACACCAAGCGATATTGTTCAAGATCTAGTTTTTTACACTCGTGATATAGATTACTCTACACTATTTAAACGGCGTCAAAAATCTCAAAACAAAATCGCTCGGCAGCAGTTTAACCATACGAAGGTGACATAAAACTGATGATTTCCTTGAACACGACTTGGCCGCTAGGAGAGATACCCGATCGGAATAAAAATGCCTCCGAAACATTAGTATATGAATGCTTTTAAGCATTAAAATTAAAATTAAAATCAATTAAAATTGATCAGGAGGTCGGCAAACAGTATAGATGAGCTCTCAGATTGCAATGATTTTGAGTTAAATATTTTCACTCTATATATAATTCCCAGTAAAAACTGAAAGCCATTGTATACGGACTATATGCAAATTAGTATACAAGCATGCAGTGGCCATTTTGTCGCCAATTTCTGGTACTGAACAATATCGCATTTTATCACTGCACATAATGTAATTTATCACTGCACAAATCTTGCTAGTTCGTCTTATTTATTCGTTCTCTTCGGAGTTCGTCTTAACCTCTCACCATTGGTCACTTTGTGTCCTCTGGGGTTTAGCACAGTGCGCATGCGTACTGTTGTTTTTGCGCTCAGGAGGTTGGTAGCCCTAGTTTGGCCTGCGGTTTTGCCCTGTAGGACGTGGGCGATCTCCTGTGTGTTTTAACCTGCTGCTCATTGCACTTTCCCCCCTGGGGATTGAGTTAGTAGGCTATAAACAGAAAAACAAATCTCATTTATCACTGCACAAATTGGTTATCACTGCACCTTAGAATAATCCCTGTGAATCTTCAGACACAGTAATGGCAGCATTAAGCAAACTACATATTAGAGGGTCCTGAAGGGGGAGGGGGGTCCCAATCCCATTTCCCACCTGAAATTTTGGCAAAATCCCAGTCCCAGTTGGATTTTTATTAGAAATCCCAGTCCCAGTTATTGAAATCCCAGTCAATAAAAAACCCTTTATTTATCGGTGGAATAAACAGTTTTAAGACCTTTTAAGCAAGTGGCGGACACTTTATGAAATATTAGGGGGGGGGGGCTCGTGCCGAAGGCACGGAAAATTTTTAAATTTGAATCCCAGAAATGGCATTTGCAGCATTCTGAGACACGTATAATCAGAAAACCCAGAATTCCGGGCGCCAGAGTATGCCTGTTCGCAGGTAGTTCTGTGAATAATATAGTTAACAACAAAAATCATGACCAGAGACACCAAAAACGGATCAAAATTGTATTTTAAAATACTCAAAACACAGAAAAATTGGGAATCGACTCGCATTACCTCAATACCATTCCCATTTTTGTGGACTTCATTTCCCATTCCCAGTGGCCAAATCCCAGTCCCAGCAACCCAAATCCCATTTTCCCAGTGTAAAAATAGATCAATCCCAGTTCCCATTTTACCCCTTCAGGGCCCTCATATTAGGTCTAATTAGTGCTATAGGCTTGATTATCAGGTAATTATTTATTTAGAACTTTAATATGATGATATATTAGGGGGGCTTTCTTTTTGTGTGGTGTTTATATAAATGTTTCTGCGCTTTTTCGTACCTGTTTAAACTAATTTTTAACAGAGAATGAATATTCACTTCATACTGATCTGACGATAGAATATATTTATAAAAGAGCTTTTGTTTGTTATTGAAATTCATCCAGTGTAGGTTATAATAGACGTAGAAAACATTCATATCTCAAAACCTGTCTTCATAATCATACGGACTACTGTTGTAGTGTGAGGTTAACGTATCCGAGTACTCGAATCCCAAAACTTTATCGAATCCGAAATCTTTATCGAATCCGAAATATTTCGCTCTAGTGTAAATCATGAAGTATATATAATACAATAGCCGGGCTCACCTCTGCAGCATCATGGACTAGTAATCAGTACACGGCGTGGATGCTTCAACTGTGACTTGAGCGAAAAATTCGCTGTAGCCATTGTACGTGTCAAACTCCGCTTTTGCGATTCAGATATTTAGCTCCAGAATAAGCTGTTCGTGATAATTCGAATTAAGTTTAGCCTGCGCCCTGCAGCGGAATTATTTTGGACTTCGAGAAAAGAACAATGATTTCTATCCGAAGCCATTAATTCGGCATGTCATTGACAGAAGCATGCCGGCCCTATATCAAGGAGGGAGCCGATTGTTCTTACTGGTAGTTATACCTTCTTGTAAAGCTTTATATATATGAACAACCTTCAAAAATTCGAAAGCACTGCTGTGTTACTAAGTTACCCAAACCCCAAGTATTCGTATTCTCACCTTTCCTCAAAAAGCGATGTATTCTTCCCACAGGGAACTGTAGTCCCGCACGAGACGACCTCGATCTTATTCCATGAAGAGTTCGCTTCGTATTCTTATTGCCACCAGCCATTTGAGGAAAGGGTTAGCCTTGATATGCAGGATTTCTAGCTAACTTGCCAGAGATTTGCAGTAAAATTGAGCGAGATTTTTGAACACGCTGCTTTTATGTGGAATTTTAATGAGCGCTGTTATGCACACTGGCACCAGAAAGAACGAAGGCAGTGCAATTATGCATTCCAGACGTTAGTAGAAACAGCTAGAAATTTCTTTCCTTGATTTACCAGTCCCAAAGGAATAAGATTGATCAACGATATCATTAAAAAATTCATTGTCGAATAGTTAACAATTAGTCCTATACTAGACCCATGGGTGCGTAAACACAATTGAATCGAATTTTATGAAAGGGAAATATTGGCTATACAATTAAGTGATCAATTATCTGTAAATTTCAGTTTGTACAGGTAAATTCAATTTAACGAACATTGTCACCCACAAAAAATCAGTTAGGCTGAGTCCGCTGAGAAGCAAGTGGCCAGCGCCCTTTAAGATTTGAGGTGCGATATGGGATTTTCTTCGTCTGATGGATGAGTTATGACTTATGAATGTTCATGCAGATGAGGGTACATCAGTGAGACATATCAGGATACTCAGAACATTCACAACTTATTTACTCATTTACATGCATCAGAAGAAGAAAATCGCACTAAAACTCGCAGCAACTGAAATTAATGCAAGTGTAAACTGTGTCGAGAATTATGCATAGTTTGTTAAAGGACACTATAGTTAATCTTATATGACGTTTAAGCGTAGTATTTGCTTGCGCATGCGCGTTAGTGCTCGCCTTACGAACACGTTTTAGATTCGTAACATTCATATAAAACGACCGTTTTGGACCATAGTTTTGGGACTTTATGTTAGTTATGTCTTGTATTAAGATGTCAAATATATTCATATAAACAATCCACATTTTGGTGCCGTGACCAGTTGTGCCGTGACCAGTTGTGCCGTGACCAGTTGTGCCAGTGCCGTGACTACAGCAGTCATGGACGAAGGTCATGCACTCTTGAGCTCCGATAATATAGATTTTGAATTGGCTGATAAGACCTCAACTAATGTTGTAGATCAAGTAAAATACATAAATGGTACGTCAAAGTATCTTGTTGTAAATGACAAGAACACATTCAAATGGATAGGCCCTTTTGAAGGTCTCAAAAATTTGATGAACGAATTGACCGGCAAAGAAACAAAATGGTCGTCTCCCGGCGGCTATTGTAAGTTGCTTGAGCTGAATGAAGTTGCTGTAAGATGGTATTCAGATAGTAACTCACTTACAATTAATGGAAAGTCGTGTGATGAGTTTAAGACTCAACTTATTCATCTCAACAAACAGCTACAGTTAGAATCCGAAGACACAAATGCTGCCTGTGTCTCTGGTAATGGCGAAATACCAATCAACTTTGATGAGGAAGCAGTAAGTAACGAAAGCGAGAATCAAATTTCCACTGGTCAGTTAAACGAGTATGAATCATTGCTTAATACCGTAAGAAGCCTTGAGGCGAAGTTGGAAAGTAGGATAAATGATTCGCAAGCGAAGTGCACGAGACTAGACTAGAATTACATGTCGAGAAAATTGCGCGAGGGATCCCAGAAGCTGAATACACAGAACTTGCAAGCGAAGCTCTGGAAATAAGATCAGAATTAGATATCAGGAACCTCACAAGAGACGAGAACGAAATCATCAAGTCTCGTGACGAATCAATATCTACGGTTTTTAATAAGGGATTTCTCGTTAAAGAGAACGCTAGTCTTAAAGATGAAAATGCTTTACTTAAACAGCAGATTAACAACTACAAATGTATTACATCGGACTTGAGAACAAAGGTCAGAGATTTAGAAAATGAAAAAGACAGCTTGGTCACCGTTATTAAAATTCTACATGATGATCAAAATCAACATACTTGTCATGCTAATAAATCTATAGCGTCTTGGAATGTTGTAAACAATCATAAAAGGTCTCAGATTGGCCGTGGTTCCTCAAAGAATTATTCTACAATTGGTCCCAGTGGTGACATCAGGGACAAAGATGGTGAAACTCGGATAAAAAATCAATATATTGTCTTGAGTGATGATATCGACAACAGTGAAGCTAGTGAGGACGACAGCGTCATCTTAAAGTCTACACAGGCTCCCCAGAATAAAGAAATCCAGGACACTAGCAAAGAAGGACCTAAAGATCCAAAACATGGCTGTGTTGCTGAAATTCCTAACACGACAAAAACAAAAGAGAAATTAAGCCTTCAACAAAAGGGCTTTGGTAAGAATCAAATGAGCGAATCTGATGACAAAGCTGCTCAATCGAAAGCCAACAAGCAGAGGTCACAGCAGATTAACCAGGAACAAAAGAAGTATAAGAATAAGAAACAAAAGGTGAAGAATAACGAACAAAAGGCAAAGGAAAACGAGCAAACGAGAGAAGCGCATAAGGCAAGTGAGGAAAGAACAGCAGAAAGACAACGCACTAAAGAAACGGTCGTTATAGCTGGAGATTCGATTATAAAATATGTAAAAGGTTGGGAAGTATCCAACACTGACAGAAACGTAATAGTTAAGTCTTTCTCAGGTGCAACAGTTAATGATATGTCTGATTTCTTAAAGCCCACTGCACGAAAGCAACCCGATAAGCTCATTATCCATGCAGGCACAAACGACATACGCTATTCAAGTCCTAAAGAAATTGCAAAGAAAATTATCGAGTTAGCAGAGAATTTTAAAAAGGATTGCAATGATACTGAAGTCATCATCTCTTCTTTAGTCACTAGATGCGATAGAGAGGAACTTACAACGAAGGTAAATGAAACTAACAATATATTAAAGTCAAGCTGCTTGAAGAAAAAGCTTGCATTTTTAGACAATAGTAATATTAGTCGCTCTCATTTAAATAGTAGAGGACTGCATTTAAACCGAGAAGGTAGCTCTTTGCTTCAGGCAAACTTTTCACATTTCTTAAGTTCGCATAATTGAAATGAGGACGGGTCGAGGAGGAGTGCTAATGATGCCTGTTTAAATATTCCGAAAACAAGGGGTTTTAAGATGGCTATGCTTAATGTAGTTAGCCTTCCGAAACACCTTGATGAAATCCGATTATTACTTCACGATAAATATTTAGATGTTTTAGCAGTTAATGAAACCCGTTTGGACTCCACTATTTCCGATGGGATTGTTAGCATTGAAGGTTATGACTTGCTACGTGCTGATCGGAATAGAAATGGAGGAGGGGTATGTATTTATATAAGACGCCATATAAATTATGAAAATCGCCCTGATCTAGTTCCAACAGGCCTTGAAGCTGTCTGTGTGGAAATTAAGCAGGCTAATAGTCAATCTTTTATAGTTTCAAGTATTTATAGACCACCATGTTCCGCTAGTGAAGTGTTTATAAAAATTGAGAGGCTAATCAAATCAATTGATGATGAAAATATAGAATTTTATATTTTGGGAGATTTAAATTGTAATATGCTAGAACCAACTTTGTCCACCACTAGAAGGCTTCAAGACGTTTTGGAATTATATCAGCTTACACAATTAATTAATAACCCTACGCGTATTACCCAGTCTAGCCAATCATTATTGGATGTAGTAATTGCGTCAATGCCTGAAAAAATAATTTTTTCAGGTGTAGTCCATCTCGGAATTAGTGATCACAGCCTCATTTATAGTATTCGGAAAATAAGTACAAGAATAAAAACTGATTTACAAGGTTCTGTCGAGTATAGAAATTTTAAGAATTTCAATGTTTCAGGCTTTCTACATGACTTACAAAATATACCTTGGGAAGAAATAAGATTTAAAAGAAATGTAGATGAAATGTGGCGGTTATGGAAAACATTTTTTGTAGATGTGCTGGATAAACATGCCCCTGTGAGAGTAAAAAGATTAAGAAAAGGGGGTAATATTCCTTGGGTAAGCCGGGAAGTAAAGGAAAAATTATTTAAAAGAGATGCTCTTAAGCGTAAAGCAATAAAGACAAATAAAGAAGAAGACTGGAGACTATATAAGTCATCTAGAAATGTTGCCAACACTGCTTTGCGCAGTGCTAAAAGAGATTATTATGCAAACAAATTCACAAATAATAAACAGAATCCTAAATATGCTTGGAGAACAATAAACGATATATTAGGTCGAAACAGAAAACAGACTACGATTAATGAAATTAAACTTCCAGGTAAAACTGTTACATCGACCGACGAATTAGTCGACATTTTTAATGATCATTTTAGTAATATTGGCCCAAAGCTTGCTGAGTCTATTCCAAATGACAATGACGTTAGTTTTCGAGATTTTATTACTCAACAAAAATCTAAGACAAAGAACAGTTTCTCATTTCGACCAGTGAGTGTAACATTGGTTTACACTCTTCTAGTTAATTTGTCTACCACCAAAGCGACTGGAATGGATAAAATTTCAGCTAAAATTCTACAAGTAGCAGCTCCAGTTATTGCACCTTCTCTTACTGAGATTTTTAATATGTCAATTGACTCGGATCAATTTCCTTCTGATTGGAAAGCTGCAAGGGTTATTCCATTGTTTAAAAAACGTCAGCGGTCCATGTTGGACAACTATAGACCGATATCAATCCTTCCTGTAGTAAGTAAACTGATGGAAAGAATTATGTATGATCAAATGTATGAGTATCTTAACCAGAATAATCTTTTCTCAAAACACCAATTTGGTTTCAGACCTTATCATTCCACAACTACTACATTATTGGATTGTACGAACGAATGGTATACCAACATGGACCGTGGGCTGTATAACTTAGTTGTTTTTCTTGACCTATAAAAAAAGCATTCGATACAGTCGACCACGAAATACTGTTAAGTAGGTTTAAAATGTATGGTTTCAAAAGGAAAGCATTAAATCTTTTACGTTGCTATTTGACGCACCGAACTCAAAGTTGTCAATTGGCCAGTATACTCTCGGTGGAGAAAGAAATCATTTGTTGCATTCCTCAGGGAAGCACACTCGGTCCTCTCTTATTTATTATGTATATAAATGATTTGCCAAGCTGCCTAGAACGCACAACTCCAAGAATGTTTGCTGATGATACTAACTTAACGGCAGTAGGCAGAACAATTAGTGAGGCTGAAGAGAGAGCCAGCGTAGACATGAGGAATGTTCAGAAATGGCTTTGTGCAAATAAACTAAGTCTAAATATAGTGAAAACCGAGTATGTTTTAATTGGAACACGACATAAAATAAGTAAGATTGATACCCATCAAGGAGTTAAAATAAATAATCAATTGATTAAAAAAGTTAAAAATACCAAAGCTCTTGGAGTTGAATTAGATGAAAACTTGAGTTGGGAAAAACACATTAACCATAAAAGCAGTAAAATATCATCAGGTATTGGGGCTATTAGAAAAATGAGGGAGTATGTCGAACAAGACATTTTGATAAAAGTTTATAATGCCTTAATCCAACCTTATTTTGATTACTGCTGTGAAGTATGGGATACACTTAATAAAGGCCTAAGCGAACGTCTACAGAAATTCCAAAACAGAGCGGCTAGGTTGATCATGAACTTAAAAAATGAACATGGTCAGTCTATTTTGGCACGAAAATCTCTAGGCTGGGTAACACTTGAAGAGCGTAGGGCACAAATGAAAGCCAGGCTCATGTACAAGACAGTTAATGGTTTAGCCCCCCAACGACTATGCGAAGCTTTCCAAAATCTGAATACCATTCATGACCATAATTTGTGAGGTTCTTCAACAAGGTTTTATATTCCAAGACCAAAAACGGAATACTTAAAAACAAGCTTCCAATATAGTGGGGCTAAACTATGGAATCAGATACCCGAAGAGATACGCAATTCGGTATCGTGCAATTCGTTCTGTGAAAAACTATCTTCCTCGACCTTAATCTCGAATTAAAGTAGTAGTTAATTTTTTGTCTAAATAGGTATATAATTGTATTTGTTATGTATGTAATATTAGAGCTAGTTTATAAATAATAATTTGTAAGTACACATCCCTTTTGGAAATCAGCTTTTGCTGAAAAGGCCAATGTGTTTAAATAAAGTTGATCTATCTAAACATCGGAAAACCATAACCCATGCAAATGTGGGTAATCTTCTTCCTTGTCTCTACATGCTCATTTCTAATCTGTGAAATGCTGTCTACTCCATAAACTTCAATGTCAGCACTCTCTCCCCCCTGTACTGGGGCTACACTCAATTCAAACAATTCTCTCAACTTCCTTTCAACTTTCTCCTGTCCGAACGTTCTAATTTCCACCCATTCCTTACCCTTTACTGGCACTCCTGTCTTCTGAGCTACCTTTCCCGTAACAAATGACCGTTGACTTCCTTAGTCAAAAATAACCCGCACTCTCACATTCTCCTTTCCTCCCATTACCAAAGCCTAACCTGCCTGCAATGCTACTCTATTTGCTGACCCAATGCACGGATGTGTGGAATGAACGACGTCAGCGGTTATAGACCATTAGCATCGCTCTCACAAATAGAACTATGATGTCGTTTACTGCATGCACTACATGTACTCGTATTTAAACAATTACTACTAATATGTCCTCTTTTTAAGCATATGAAACGCAGTCCGTACTTACGAAGTTTTTGTTTACGTTCACTAGCATCCTGAATTTTCTTACAATCTTGTGACAAATGTTCTTGCAAAATATGTACGCATCTTGGCTCCTCTTCCCTGGGGGTATGATTCACAAGAGCAGCCGCCGAACCATCTAGAAACTGTGGTTTCCTTCGTTATTGTTTTGACGTGTTCATCGTAGATGATTCGAGTGCTTCGAGTAATTCAATTTCATCTAGAAGCGCTTCTAAAATATCCTTCATCGTCCAATGTAGAAAGTCTGATCCACATGCCCCACGAGTTATCGTTAAACGAAAGGATTCCGGCAGCTTGTCGAGTATTTCTGGAAGGACAATCGTAGCATAGGAACTTTCATCCACTCCCAGGGTTTTCGAACCTCGGCGGTTTCTCTCACAGGCATGGTACAATTCTCGTAGTCGACGTACATCTCGCTCGTTATATATTGGCTTAATGTTCATCAACGCTTGAATACGGGCTCTCTTTATTGCCGTTTTCTTCCCATAACGTGTCTTTAGGAGTTCTAATGCTTATTTATAGTTCGTTGCTGTTAACATGAACCCTGCGATAGTTGTCTGCGCGGAACCAACCAGTAGACCTTTCAAATACGCGAATTTATCTACCTCTGATAGAGCGTCATTCTGATTTACAGAGCTATCAAAAGAGTCCCAAATTTCTTGCCACCTTTGAATTTACCCATTAAATCTTTTGACCTCTAACTTTGGGAGCTTTGCGCTAACAATCTGTTTGGATGTAGCGTTCATACTCAGGTTCGATGGTTTACTTTGTCCTTGTGGTAGTGACGGCAAGGCTACGAACAATGCGTCCTTGACGTCGAGAGTTAGTTTTTGTAATTCAGCTCGTGTATCATTTGTCTCCTGAATTTCTTTTTCCAGCTGTTGTTCTGCGTCTTCGGCTTCACTATTACTTACTAGAACCTCGACAATCTCTTTGCCTAAAAGTTTCAAGTCTTCGAGTTTTCGCTCAGCGTGTCTCTTAGCTGTTTGAGCACATTCTTGTCCGTCGGAGGCGTTTCACTCGCATTCGCTAAACATTCTTTTATCTTCGTCCCTATCTTCATTGCTGACCATCTGTGCGCTGCGCGTGTTCTTCTTCCCTTTGTCAGATCGTCCATCGGCATTGTTGTATGTGATGTTACTCTGAGGGTATATCCACACCGGGAAAGCTTGAAAAATATGCCTGACCACGGTGGAAATCGAACCTACGACCTTTGGAATGCTATCTCAATGCTCTGCCAACTGAGCTACGTGGTCTGGTCGGTTCGAGTATGTGATATTTCGGAAAAGAATCTAGTTCCTTCGATATCAATGTTATCTAATAATAATCATGATTATTATTAGAAAACAACAAATATCGAAGGAACAAGATTCTGTTCCGAAATGTCACATATTCGAACCGACCAGACCGCGTAGCTCAGTTGGCAGAGCATTGGGCAAGCATTCCAAAGGTCGTAGGTTGGATTCCCACCGTGATCAGGCATATTTTTCAAGCTTGCCCGGTGTGGATATACACTCAGAGTAATATCACAAAGCATCATATTCACCGCACCTGAGTACATTACACCAACACAGAAAAATCATGATTATTATTAGATAACATTGATATCGAAGGAACTAGATTCTGTTACGAAATATCACATACTCGAACCGACCAAACCGCGTAGCTCAGTTGGCAGAGCATTGGGCTAGCATTCCAAAGGTCGTAGGTTCGATTTCCACTGTGGTCAGGCATATTTTTCAAGCTTGGCCGGTGTGGAAATACACTCAGAGTAACATCACAAGCATCATATTCACCGCACCTGAGCACATTACACCAACACAGAAAAATCATGATTATTATTAGATAATATTGATATCGAAGGAACTAGATTCTGTTCCGAAATATCACATACTCGAACCGACCACACCGCGTAGCTCAGTTGGCAGAGCATTGTGCTAGCATTCCAAAAGTCGTAGGTTCGATTCCCACCGTGGTCAGGCATATTTTTCAAGCTTGCCCGGTGTGGATATACACTCAGAGTAACATCACAAGCATCATATTCACCTGAGTACATTACACCAACACAGAAAAATCATGGCATTGTTGTATCTATCTCGGTTCTTTCTTTCGTAATCTATCCGGTTCGCATGGACCAAGTGTCGCACATTTCTGAAGGGCGAGGGACGTTTTCAAGGCCGAGGGCACAGAGGAAGTATATACAGAGAGTTCACTCAAGCCAAAACAAGTCACACGCATGATTGGCCATACAGCGCATGCGTAACCTCCCAGCCAGTACCGTGAAATTTTTTTATAAGGAAATAAACGGGGAAATCCGAATTTTTGTCATAAAAACAGCGATTCTAACGAAACTATCCGAGTGATTTGCTGTTTCGTTTTAATTTCAAGAAAATGGGTTAGACTGGACATTTTTAACAACAAATGGGGCTACAAACACTACTTGAACGCTGTGAAAGGGAAAATTATACTCGGAGGAGTGAAGTTCGAATCTTATGTTGACAAGTCAAAAAGAGATAAAAAAGTTGTTCTACACGATGTTCTATACTCCAGTTGTGTTGCTTTTGCGGGAGAAAACTCAGAAGTTGTTCAGAATTGGCATTCCAGTATATTTCGTATCGAATAGTGTTCAGGTAAGAGCATAATCCGCTTTTTACAATGAGACAAAACTAGCGAAAAACATGTCTCGACCAAAATGTCTTTAGTCATTGAGAGTTCTGTACGTGTGCATGTTGATCTGACTTAAATTCTGTATTTGATTGTCAGGATACTAACCCATTAAGTACAAACTTGACTTGCCAAGTGGAGATTCTTGTCACTGAAATATATTCCCGGCAAATATTTTTGTTCGCTTTATAGGATAATCACAATCTGTGGGCAAACCGCTCCTTCAACTTTCCAAATCAAATAAAAGTTTTTCAAAAGCTCAACCGTACTTCTTATGTGAATAGAGAAGATCACTTACTGTTATTGTTGGAAAATTTTGTCCAGATATGAAGCCCGAAAGCGTCTCTTCCTTAAAAATGCCACGTTTTGCATTTCGAACTGCGTTTTCCTATAGTTTTGTATTGAAAACGCAGCGACGGTACCACAGAGAAGAAATATACAGAGAGGAAACAGACAGTCACCTAGATAACCTGAATTTTTGTGTCACGCGTTCCACGCGCCACGCAAAATCTTCCAGCCAGTGCCGCCGCTGAAATTTCATAGCAAAAGATAGGGAAAACGCCGTTCGAAAGGTGAAAATCGCTTTTTTTATTGATTTCCTTTTATTGAAAGTGTTAACACAACATTTTATTTTGCAAAAGTTTGTTTCTCCCCTATCTACTCCTTATTAAAATCGTGAAAAGCACTGGCTGGGAGTTTCAGATGCTCATATATAAAAAACAAATCAGCAAATGATATAAATTCCTCAAAATATAGCTCTCGCATAAGAGAACATAAATACTTCTATAATATGTATAGTTTTATTCCTCTGCATTATCAAAATTTAATAAAATAGTGAATTAATATAATTTTCTATAGTTAATTGCTGCCGCAGGCAGCCACCTACCTATTCTTGACGATGTGTATTTCTCGCACTAGCCGTTTCCGGTTGGCTCAATTATGTATAGCCAAACGACAACTCGATTTTTTTGCATGTACGAATGTTTGTACGGATGATCAGATTTATGACGTTTTTTGACGTTACAATGCCTACTCTGGGGCGGTAAATCGCCTTAAATCGCTGCGATATAATGCGATTTTGGGCGATTTTAGGCGATTTAAGGAAAAACTGGGACTTTCAAGCACTGCGATTTAGTGCGATTTTAGGCGATTTAAGAAAAAATTCTAAATTTTAGGGATTGCAATAATTTAGGTGTTTTCAAAGGAATTGAATTCTATATTTTGCTCCGGCTTCCTCCCACAGGGTACCCTGGATTCCAGAGCCTTCGACAGTAAATAATAAATTGAAATGTCGCGAAGGCTCTGGTTCAACGGGGCGATTCTTTGATTAAGCCGCGCCAATCACAAAACAGAATTAGTGGTTTTAGTCAGGATTTCGATGTTCTTTTAGCCGTGTACCAAACTGGCGTTTAGACTGACCCAAATACTCTTTCTCGCAGTCGCCGCATGGTAGAGAATATACATCTTTCTGATTTGTTTTAACAGGATCTTTTGGCTTTGCGAAAATATGGCCTAAAGTCAAATAGGGTTTTAAGGCAACCTTAATATTACAATTACTTAAGATTCTCTTGATTGGTTCTGTGACACCTTGAATGTATGGAACTATTGCATAACCCTCAACAGAGGTATCACCCTTGGAGTTACTTTGGTTCCTACAAACAGGTGATCTCAGGCAATCATTAAGGAAACGTTTTGGGTAATCGATTTACCCTAAAATATTCAGAACATATTCACGTTCATTAGCTTGAGAATCACTGTTTGACGGCAAGGATTCAACTCTTGAAGCAAAGTTCTTGCTACGGATTTTTATGGCTTACTGGGTGATGAGAGTCGTATGACAAGTATTTGTCTGTGTGTGTGGGTTTGCGATAAACATCAGTCTCTAGCTTCCCTTCGACAGTTCTATGCACATTCAAATCTAAAAAAGCTAAATGTCGATTTATCTCACGTTCTAGCGTGAATTGGATGGACGGCTCAATAGAATTTAAATGTTGCAGCAGAATATCGATTTCATTTCTAGAAATCGCAGAGATGACATCATCGACGAAACGTTTCCAAAATGATAGAGATACCGCAACAGAGGCTAAAGCTCTTTGTTCGACATCTTCCATTACTAAATTAGCAATTACTGCCGGTACTGGTGACCCCATCGCTGTTCCAAAAACCTGATGATAATAACAGCCCTCAAACACAAAGTATGTGGCGTTGAGACAAAAAGACAGAAGATCAATAATATCTTCTACAGGCAAGGCTGTTCTTTTCAACAAAGCTAAGTGTCGCAATCTTGATGATGAGATCAACTGGGATGTTTTTAAACAAGGAAACGACATCAAATGATACCAACAGTTGATCTGCTTTAAGAGTTTTACCTCTTACAAATTCTGCAAAATGACAGGAATTTTTAACAGTGTTTCCGGTATTCCCCACCACAGGGGACAAAATTTTCGCCAAAAAACTTGAAACTCCATATGTAGGAGAATTCACAAAGGACACAATAGGTGTCAATGGAATATCCGGTTTATGGATTTTCGGTGAACCATAGAAACGCGGAGATAGTCCATCCAGTGAACTGTAATAAGACTGGAACGATAACTCGGCCGCCATCTTTGAAGCCAAATTGAAGGCCGCCATTGGAGGTATGGCGGCGAAAATACACCTCTTCAAAAAACTCGGATTTCTACCTTTCTAGTTATGCTAAACCATAGATAAAAAACTTAAAAACATCTACGATACTTGGACTATTGCACAAATCATGCTTGGAAGCCGTAGAAAAGACTTAACGTAATTTTTTGTGTACCTCAAAGTCGTATTTTGTTCGGCACGGAAAATATTTTGTTATTTTCTTGAATACAAAAATGGTACCTTTCGAGATTTTGCTGTTAGTGGATGTTGAATACTTAGAACTATCCAGAAACCAAGTTTGAATCTTTGAAATTGAAATCTTCGGACGAAAAACCTAATTTTCGGCGTATTTTTGCTAAAAAAACAAAATTACGAGGAAATTTAACTCTCCCCAGTTCTTTTTTGAAAGTCACAGCGCGCGAACTTCTCCCGGGCGCCAAATCACAAATCGCAAATCACGGGGGATTTCTACAGAGAAATCGATTTATTCACGTTTTAGAGAAGTCAAAAAGCACTCAAAATAAACAACTATATTTAGACGTTAATACAAAAAAGGTATTGGTCCGTAGACTTACGTTTTAAAGTTGTTTTTTTTTAGTTAAAGAGTAAAGTTCACTTTGGCACGTTCAACTAGTGTCGTTTTTATGAAAAAAAACCTGATACCCTTCAAACTTTTGCTGTTGTAGGATGCAAAGCAGTTCTAACTATCAAATAAATCGTATTTGGGTTTTTAAAATTGAAGTCTTTTGATAAAAAGCGACTTTTCTTGCTCATTTTCGTCGAAAATATAAAACTTTGACTGAATTTCCCACTCCTCGAAACTCTCACTAGTCCTTTTAAAAGTGCAATTTCCTTGCACCGTTGGCTTCAGGCAAGTATGGGCATGTTTACCTGAGTTATCGTTCCAGTCTTATTAGAGTTCACTGAGTCCATCATATGTCACCTGATTGTTATATATGTTTTCGATGTGCTCGAGACACAAAATCTCCTAGAAAGTAAGTTTTACGTGAAAGTGCAATGATTCCTTCTCCAGTCCCAACCGAGTTACAAAATTTGCAAGTAGGGGAAATGTTGATTGCTCGTACTCTTCCTATCATGAGAGTTTACATTAAGCCTGGTTGACAACGAGGTTACTCAGGTCATTGTGTTAATTTGCCACAAAATGTTTAGGAACTTGCAACATCATTGCCAAGATATCCGAAAGATTTGTCAGTGATTATTGTCAAGGTCAAAGGTAAAGATAACTAACATAATCCTCATTATGCTGAATTAAAAATTAATGAAGATGCATTAAACTCTTTACCTGAAAATGGCATTCCAACAGATATCATGACTGTTGAGACTGAAAATGAAATAATCTCAAATGATGATGTTATGTCAGATATAGGTCCACCCACTGAAAACCCTTCTGAAGATATAGTTTATAACAACTCTACAGACATGAATAGTTTCTTGCCTGTTGGTAAACAGCAGGAACAAGAATTATATAGTAACTACAGTGAAACACGCAATTTGATTGGTCAACAGCCGTGCAGGATCAGACATTCCTGCACGGGAAATTCTGAACAGAAATTATTTCATATAATTTTACAAATATACTCGCATTGTAAAGTTTCATTGTACGATACCTTTCGACTTTGAAGTAAGTTTCCAATTATTGAGACGTTGGTTTAGTTGTATGAATAAATTTCAGATCGATACATTGCTATTCAGCAAGTAGCAACGCGTAAGCGTTGAAATTCATCAGACCATGGCATGCAAGTACAACATCTCTCGCTTCAAAGTTGATCAAACGCTTCGCAATCTTCACATATTCAGCTAGAGAATCTTCACTACTACTTTGACTGTCTGTTTAGCGGGTTTTCCATTTCAAATTTCGTATATTTTATCGAAAAAGTCCCTGTATTTTCGCTGTATACTTTCGCGAATTTGCGATCAAATTCTGTTCACACATGTTGTTGTTTTCAATAGCGTGGATTAGCGATTCTCTGATTGGTTAATTCGCGAATGTTGTGAGAACTGCACATTTCATCAGTAATTTTAATCAAGTTAAGCGTCGTTTCACTGTAGTAATTTTATAAACAATTACCAAATGGTTTTCCCGTGCAGGATAGCATGATCCATGCACTTGGGATGTTGCTCGACTTTCGGAAAGCGTAAAAATACACTCGCCTACGGCTCGTGTATTTTTACGCTTTCCGAAAGTCTCGCAACATCCCTCGTGCACGGATCACGCAATCCTGCACGGAAAACCATTCGGTATTCATTTAATAGAAGCAGCTAGAAATAAGCTTTCTGCAAATGAACCAATGCCATGGCCCACTATTAAAAGTGAACCATTGAATGAATATCAGATATCATATCTGGCCACTATGGCTTTTCCAACATTATTTCCTGATGGGAAAGGTGATCCCACTAATCAAATTATCGGGTATACCGTTTTGCTAATCACCCTAGATTTTCATACTGGGCATTTAATATGATTCACAGAAAGCGTATTCTGCAACAAAGTGGAATGTTCATTAAACAAAATCCAGGTGAAGCACACCTCACTATTGATGAGCTACGTGAAATGGCTGCAAGTGACAACTCCACTTTATTGATGTCCAAAGTGTCCAGATACATTGGCAATATTGCAGGTACTAGTGCTTACTAGAATAAAGTGAGAGCGGCACTCAAAGCTATAATAACTAATGTTGGAGCGCCAACATTGTTCTTTACTTTCTCATCAGCAGATATGCACTGGCCTGAATTACATGCTCTCTTTGGAGCAAACACTGGTAATGCCACTAGTGAGGTAAGGAGACAAAATATTATTAACAGTCCACATATAGGTGATTGGTTCTATACACAGAGACTAGAAAAGTTTGTAAAACACTGACTTTATGATACACTTGGTGCAAAATGGCACTGGTTTAGATATGAATACCAAGGTAGAGGTAGTATCCATTGTCATGGTACTGCAAAACTACATAATGACCCAGGCTTGTGTCAACTTACTCAGACTGCTTTGAAAGGTTTCTTAGCTCAAAAATTGAAAAATGAAAATGATTGTTCTGACACAACTGAACTGGACCAGGATATTGAAGCTGGTGAGAAAGCAGCTGACACAGTATGTCAGTATGTTGATTGGTTATTATCAACCGTAAATTCTAATCTACCAGATGAGGATATGTGAATCAGACCTGAGGTTCATCCATGTCAAAAAAGTCATCACGACATTCCTGAACATGAAAAACAATCAGTTTATGTAGATCTATTAAACATGGTTCAACGACATACTCGTTGTAGTACAAGTTTTTGTCTTAGAAAGAAGTCAAAGGAAACAGAATTGAAATGTAGATTTCACTTCCCTTTTGATATTTGTCCTAAGACAAAATTAGAATTTCAAAAAATTCATACCTCATGTGATAATGATTATTATCGAGCTAAGATTGTGACTAAACGAAATGACTCTAGATTAAATAACCATCGACAACTTTAGCTGCAAGGATGGAGAGCTAACTGTGATACTCTAGTTGTTATTGATCACTATGCTTGTGTTGAATATCTCACAAAATATGCAGCTAAAGGTGAGCCAAGATCACCTATATTGAAACAGGCATTCAATTCTATTGGGCAAAATTTCGACAGTAATACTGGCTCTCATAGAGTTATTAAGAAGGTAGTTATGAAATCTCTTGGTGAAAGAGATTATGCAGCTCAAAAGACAATGCATCATTTGTTGTCATTAAAACTCCACAGCTCATCTTTTACAGTGATGCCAGTTAGTCTAAAAGGTTCACGTAGGGTGCGTGATACTGCAAGTATTGACGAGGGTGCATCGTGCACCGATTATTCACTTCTTGATGTGTATGCTAATCGTGAACAATATGACAGTTCACAAAATATAATAAATATGAACTTTGTTCAATTTGCTACAACATACAAAGTTGTTAACAACGAACTGACAAAATTGTCAGAAAATATTGTACCACGAATATTCCCAACATATTCTCCTAATCCGTGGAGGTATAAACCGTGGAGAACAACCCAAAAAATGCGCATGGGGTGACCAAGAACCAACTGCCGAGGTTCTGGTCAATTGTTGGCATGAATTTTTACAATCCCCTTATGGTCAGTCTAATGTCCTAGACTGGTTTGATAAATTACAAACTGTCATTCAAAGTCAAGAAGCAGAAGATGAGGTTTGTGAATGCTAATGAGGTTTGTGAATGCTTAAAGGTAGGTTACAGTCCCTTCTGCGCATGCGCGGGCTTTGTTTACGTTTTTTGTTTTGATCCACATTAATTGTATAAGATGAAGTATATGACGAGTTGAAAATAACATTCCACATAATTTGTGACCGAGGAGTGCAATGTTTGACAATACTTCGCTTCATTTCTTGTACATTTCTACACTGGAAATTTTTGTACACAATAACACAATCTTATACTGTAACTGTTTGACTGTAAACATCGTGAATAAAGAGGCCTCTTTGAACGTTGTGTGACTTGCTATATCAACAGCTGGGGCGGCGAACCGAAATCCCGAAGGTGTGAGTTCGAATAATTTGTGTTTACCTTTGGAGTGTCTCATCATGAAAATATTTAATGCGGTATCAATCCCTCCAAACATGTTGCCAGTGTTGTTGTTGTCATTATGACAGAATCGCTTGGCCTTGGGGAAAGCTTTTCGCTTGACGAAATTCGAAACAAGTGTGATTGAGAATGTGGTTGCAGTTCCTGTCTTCGTGGCAAAGCCGGGGAAAAAATTTTTGACCATGCAAAAGCTGGATAAACTGAGCAAAAGTTCAAGCTCGTGCGTGCTATGGAGATAATTTCGTTATAAACAACAAGAGTTCAATAGATTGACAGTGACGAGAGTACGAGGCGCCAAGATTATATTCAACTTTTTTGTGTTATAAGTATGTATGTTTTGAAATTATGAACTGGAAGTATGAATTCACTGATATTACTCTCATATATATTGACACTAAATGATGATATTCTTGTGACACTGAATGATCTAATAGTAATATTAAATTAACTTAAACAATTCTGGTCAATCTAGTGATCACGTTAGTTCACTTCATCATGTCTCTTCACAGGACAATTGCTAAATATAATTATGCTTGTTTCCCTCTATATCAGAGCTCATCAGAATGCTCAGGAAACACTGATAAAAATTTTATTACATCAACAAATCTTTCTTTTTCTTAACTGATTTATATATGATTTATTATATATAAATGATTTACAGATTTATAACAGATTTATGATATGATAATACATATAATTTATAAACAATTATTATTAGCACACATATATCCAAGGGGATAGGCATGCATATGACTCAAGGGCTTATGGCCCCCTGAAAATACTGAATATACTAAATATAATTACAGTTTGTGACATGAACAGTCAGTCAGGTAAGCACCATTCACATAAGAACCTGTTTAGGCTAACTTGGAAAAAATCTAGGTCCTTATTATATGCAGGGTAACCAGGGTTTTACTGTGTTGTCTGATTTCATGTCACAAAACAGGCCATAGCAGCTTGTGCTGACAATATATATATGCATGGGATGGTGCCACTCTTTGTGACACAAGATCAGGCAATCATAGTACAAAATGAACTGGGTTGTGTTTCAGATTGCTTTGTGTAGGAGGCAATCCATCTAGATGAAAGAAAGCTCGGATTTAAAACCCCCAGACCCCACCTTTGGGCAATACATGTAGTGACTACATGATCATTAGAGCTTGGAAATTAGGTTAAATTCTTAAAGAAAAGCGACTCATTTTTGGTATGTGCATGAGGTATAATTTACATGTATATAAATTAATATTGTGCCCAAATTATCTAACTAATAGCTATGACTATGTGTAAAGCTATTCTGTAAAGCTATACTGTAAAGCTGCTAACATGCACTCAATGACATTTTCAGTATTCTGGATTATTTTCATTACTTTGTGAAGAGTTTATTTTTTTTGATTTATATACATTTTTGATTTGTCTTCATGTGATAAAATAAGAACCTGAAATGTTAGCCTAAACAAATTCTTATTTTAGCGTGTCTAAAATAAAAAAATTTAGCCTAACAGGTTCTTAAATTATAGGTTCTTATATGCAAGCTTTTAGTCACAATTAGGGTGAAAAAATATACTAGTAATTATTAGTTGAGTTTGTTTACATCATATATAAGTTTCTGTGATCAATTAACAGCTATCAGCACCAAACATTCTTACTTTTTCTGAATTAACGTCGGCAAAAATTTGCCGACCTGGGAGGTTGATAGGTCGGCATTTAGGTCGGCATTGCCAAATGCCGATCTCGTTTTCGAGGGCTGTGCTTTGATTAAAATATACTTTGATCAGAGAAACTTTTTATGTTTCTATTAAGTGAGCACAAGTTGTCCATGAAAAGACAGTCAAAAACTGTAAAGCACGGTCAAGAAGATGAATTTATATCATTTATCACTCTGACAATAATATATAAACAGCCATCCAAAACATGTTGACTCCAAATTGCTCATTAACACTTTTTCATTGACAACTCCTACTCACAAGTATCATATCTTTAGGCCTTAATTATATGGGTTTCAGTTTGTAAATAAAAGAGATAGAACAGTTCGTATGTAACGATACGGTATAATTAAAATTTAAAATAGTAAATAAAGAGAATTTTATAGTCATTAATTAAAACCTCGATTGATGGACTTCAACAAGCAATTTCACTGAATGATCCACAGTGAAGGGAGTGAATAGCAGCTATGTTGGGTGAAATGTCCTTGGATTCTTTTCTTGAAAACCTTTAGTAGAAGCTTGAGGATGTAGGTATATCATGGGGAAACGTAGACAGAAATGGCACGCTCTCCATCGAGGAAAACAATAAAATAGATACACTTTGATACACTTTGGAAGCATCCCTGCTAGCGTGGTATTCTTTCCTACTCGTCATGTTGCCTCAAAAACTCGTTATTTGACGGATTGTCGCTCAAAAAAGCTCAATATATTTTGGAAACTTCTAGCTTCACTCCTTCGCTTGCGAAAAAAAACAACGCGCGTGCTATGCCAGAAATGAGACTGGACCGAGTACAAACCGAGTTGCCCAACTTCCGGTGGAGTCCCCAGGCAAAAACAATCACAGACATGCGCAGAAGGGACTGTAACCTACCTTTAAGAACGCTCGATACAACAAAAACATGCGGGCCTGATGAAATTCCTGCTCGCATATAAAAGAATGTGCATCGAAAATTTCTCCTTCCCTATGCTCCCTTTTTAATACGTCACTTAAAATTGGCAAAGTCCCTGACGAATGGAAGAAATCGAACGTAACTCTGGTGCACAAGAGGGATTTGCAAGAGAATGTTTCCAACTATAGACCGATATCTTTGCTGAGTATTATTTCTAAAGTAACGGCACGTTGTATTCATAACCAGGTTTATCCAATCCTCTCTGCACTAATAAATAAAACACAACATGGTTTTCTAAAGAAGCGATCATGCGTTACCCAATTATTGTCTGTACTGCATGACAGTGGGCCGGGAAAAACCTGGACAACAACAAACAAGTAGACATGATTTATTTAGACTTTGCTAAGGCCTTTGATTCCGTCGACCACGCGATTCTCCATCATAAACTTTACGCGCACGGACTCAGAGGTTCTATATTGCTCTGGTTTAAGGATTATTTAACTGATAGATGCCAACGCGTGGTGCTAGAAAATGTTGCTTCTGAATGGTCCCCTGTTACCTCTGGGGTACCTCAGGGGAGCATTTTAGGGCCATTGTTATTTACAATATTTATCAATACTCTGCCTGATTCCCTATCACCTGCATCGAAAACTGCTCTTTACGCGGACCATTCAAAAGTTTATCGACCAATAACATCTCTGGTTAACTTCATGGCCCTATAGCAAGACCTGAATAACCTTGATGTTTGGAGCGTCAAAAACAGTCCACAGTTTAATTCATCTAAATGTGAAATCCTCACAGTTACAAGAAAGAAAAATCCCAGTACATTTCCATACAACCTGGCTGGTAATGATCTTGTTCGTTGTGATGAAGTAAGAGATTTGGGGATAACAATAACTTATAATCTTAAGTGGGATTCTCATGTCACACGAATTCGATCTACTGCAAACAAATGTCTGGGTCTCCTGAAACGGACTTGTTATGATTTACCTGATACGCGAGCTAGGAGAGCTTTGTATCTATCCCTAGTTAAATCGCAACTAAGTAAATGTGTTGTTACTGCTACCACAGGTAAAGCAGCTTATAACATTAGAGGTGTAATGGTGCATTCTGTATTAAAGTTACCTATTGGGTCAAGAGGTAATAAAGACCTCACAGGACAAAGCTTGTGTAGGTTACAAGAGAGTGTTAATAACATTGGATACATCATTTCTGATGAATATTCCATGCTTGGCCAAGTTACTTTTGGTTGGATAGACAAGCGTTGCAAACAAGCAACTGGTTATAATGACAAAGTATTTGGAGGAAGATCATTGATTTTAACTGGTGACCCAAGCCAATTGCCACCAGTCGCAGATAAGCCTCTTTACCATGCTAAACCATCAAACGCTGTTGGTGAACAAGGTCATCAAGCATATCATATGTTTGACAAAGTTCTTAAACTCACTGTAAGTTAACGTGTGCAAGGTATAACATCTGAGCAAGCTAGTACAGTTCAGAAATTTGTTATTGCGACGTCGCAAAGGTGACTCAACTGTTGATGACTGGAAGTTACTTCTGACACGCCAACCATCAAATGTCACTAATTTATGTGACTTTGAAGATTCCACTAGACTCTTTTATAGTAATGAACAAGTTGGTAATTACAATCATGAGCAGCTAACAACACTTGAGCATCCAATTGCTCATACTAATGCGCGCCATTCATCTGCATTGGTCAAAAAGATATCCTCAAATGATATGTCTGGGTTTGAACCCGTTGTGTTTCGAGCAAAAGGTGCTAGGGTCATGTTAACGATCAATTTGTAGTCAAGTGTTGGCCTCTGCAATGGGGCTACTGGCACAGTTGTTGATATTATCTATCAGAACAACCATCAACCTCCTGACTTACCTATTGCGGTAATAGTAGAATTTGAAAACTATAGAGGACCTGTTTTTAATGAAAACCAACCATTATGTATCCCAATAATTCCAATCACTCTCACATCACAGACAAGATTAGGTTTCCATGAAAGACAACAGTTACCTCTTAGGCTTGCTTGGGCTCTAACAATACACAAGAGCCAAGAACTCACACTTCCAAAAGCATGGATAGATATTGGCAAATCTGAAGGAACTGCTGGAGATTCTTATGTTGCTATTAGCAAAGTAAAATCGCTTGCCTCTTGTGTCATGGAACCAATGACGTATGAACGATTAACAAGCTTGAAATAATGAGCCAATTTACAATATAGGTTTGAAGAAGAAAACAGGCTAGATCAGTTAGCACAGACTACTAGAAGTGCATTCAGAACAACAAACTATTGAGTTTGAATAAGAGAGGGATTTCATATATGGATCCCAGTTATAATTTGGTATGTACTTTCACTATATACCCTTTTCAGTAATTTAATTTATTATATAATAACTAATTTAGTCCTTGTTATCACTGTATGTATGAAAATATTATGATTTGCAAGACAAAAGAATGGTAAGTTTTTTGTTAATTTAGCCCCTCCCCCTGCCCTACTTTTATTTTAATCAATTTATGTGCTACTTTTTTCCACATAAATATCTCATGCTACCAATTTTATTTTCTATAGTTTATTAATTTTGCAATTCTGATGATGTGAATAGTACCAATGTACCATGTTAACTGCTGGATGAAACCAAATTGTTGTTACAGCCCAAATATAATATGGACATATAACATCACATGAAAATGGATGGTAGCTTCTTGATTAACAGAATCATCACATGAAAATGGATGGTAACTTTTGGATTAACAGAAATGTACATGTATTTCTATTAAAACAAGAATGCTGATTTACAAGATTGTATGGATATATATTACATATATTACATCATATGAAAATGGATGGTAACTTCTGGATTAGCAGAATTGCACATATATTTGATTTCTATTAAAAACAAGAATGCTAATTTACAAGATTGTATGGATATACTACATCTATAATGCAATGGGATGGAATTTGTCATGTATTATTATATTACCATACTTGTTTCCAATCTATACCATATGGATGTCAGGAACATTATATGTCAAGATATTACATACCTATATGTACAGTAACCTGTTTTAAATCAGTTTTGGACAATAATGATTGCCAACAATAGAAGCTGCCTGTACGAAACATCTGCATATTGGACAAAAAAGCCAATGGTGACACTTGTTTATAAAATGGAAAACACAGTGGACTGTCATTACCTTGAAAGAATATGAAAACTTACAACAAACTAGTCATATCACGTTTAAAAGACATATGTTTGTTCTTCCTAATTGTGTTCTTCTAGACGTTTTGACAAGTGAACGATGTTTAAAACATTGGTACCAACAATCACATATAGTAATTATTGCATGTTGTAATTTCGATTTTTTTTAAACAAAAAAATTCATACATACAGTGTGATAAATGAAGTTTATTGGTGTAATCAATCCCCAGGGCTTTGGTCGTAAGGCAGCACTTTCGTTGCGACAGTAACTTCTAGTATCTGAATATATCGGCGTGACATAATTTGCCGCGTGTTTCCACTCTGTATTTCTCTTCTCTGTGACGGTACTGGCTGCTGGCATATTAAATTTTTTTTGGAATATTTAATTTGCTTTTGATGGCGTATAAATTGCGTCAGCTTCGCAAATCCGTGTGACGTCCTAAACACTGTATTAGACGGTACGGGTTTAGATAACAAGACGCGGACGTCAAGAGGACGTGAAAATGACGTATGCACCTCGCGTTCACTTCCGGTTTTAATCTGGGATGGCTTGTTTGTCTTTTCCGAAGCAAATTTTTGTTTTCTTGTTACTTGCTCATTCCTGTATTGTTTTCGATCAGTTGTCAAGATATGTGCAAGGAAAGGCTATATAATACTGGCCAAGTGTTTTTTGATGAATTAGTATAAACATTCAATAAGTGTTTTTTAGAAAAACGTATATTTCGGTATTTTGAAAAAAGCGAACTTTGTTGCATCATTTGGAATATAAAATACAATAGTTGCAGGTATTGTTTACGAGCTAAATGCTTTATTGTAGCCTATTCAATCAAGTTTGTCAACGGTTCAGTATAAATATAGCATCAGTGTTTATATTGGTAAAATTTAATACTGTTTACGATAGTTTTTCACGCTGGAAAGCGTTTTTTTGCTTATCCTACTTTTTGCACTGTTGTGACAGAGCAACTAAAATTGATCGAAATTTTACTGCTTTTAAGTGCTTTTATTTTTCTATTTTCCCACGTTTTCCTGATTTTAAACAGTTGTTAATATAACTTCAGTTTAGTTTGTTCTAAAATATTTGTTTTGGTGAAGATTACTAGCGGTATTGAAGTGGTTATTTAGTCTATTAACAATGCTTGCAGTTTTGTTGATTTGTTTATGGCGACCGAAAGTATTTGTCGTCATGTCGATCGAAAATCAACTCGTGCAAAATTTAGCGAAATACAAGAAAAACAACCTTGTCAATGGAAAAACTTTAGCTAGCACCATTAAACAATACATGGGAAACAAAATAGGATGATTTTTATTTTGCATAGTCTCATATTTTTTTCAAAAGTAGCAAAAATCTGTGACGTTCTAGAGAGGACATGAAAATTGTATTTTCACGTCGTGAAATCGCCCAAGACGACGTCGCAAACCAGAAGCTGACGACAGTTGGCCCCGAATGACGACATCCACGTCCTCTTGACGTCCGCGTCTTGTTATCTAAAAAGGAAGGTACAGCAGAAGTGTAACTTGAGTCGGTTCCTTTATTGTTTTCGTCCACGAAAATTTTAACTCGCTCACGCCATCCTGGCTAGTACAACCGGAAGTTTTTAACAGGTTTTGGTAGGTACAAAGAGCCGGTTGTACTAGCCAGGATGGCGTGATTGATGACGAATTGCTTGTAAAAACACGGACAAATACTTGCTTGAGTTACACTTCCGCGACAATACTTGCTACGACTTACACGTGTCTATAAAACCGCCTATTATTCACCGAGTGAACTCTCTTTATATCTTTACTCATTGCCCAGGGCACAGTTTTTCTCATCCGGACCAACGCTGCCGGTAAATAACGTGTTTAATTTTTATCAGATGTAAAAATTAAATTCATTAAAATTTCAGTGTGGCTTGCGAACTAATTTGAAATCAGTGCAGTTGTGTATTTTCAAAGCGAGGCCACAGAATAAGGCACACAGAAGGTCGACTCGAGTAACGCTGCCACGCCATGATTCATCATCAAAATGCCGACGCCAGTGCGCGTTTGAGAGGCATTCCCCTCCTGGACATCCGCCATTTGAATATTATCAGGGGGGAGAATGCCTCTCAAATGCGCACTGGCAAGGGCCATGGCGTCAGCATTTGATGAGGAATTAGGGGTTACGCCAAAATCATAGGAAAATCATAGGAAAAACAAAGAAGTCGGCCTTCTGTGTACCTTATTCTGTGGCGAGGTTGACAAAAATTGAAAAGTTGAAAGATATAAAACACGAATACGAAAACTCGAGAAAATTGGCAAGAAACACACAAAAAGACGTATAGTTTCAGTAAAAATGTACATGCTTTTTTCATGAATATGGCAGCAGAGAAGCTTTGGAATAAAAACTTTTATGCCTGGCGCTTTGGCTTTGACAAAATCAGTTGCTCCTGACAACGACAGTTTCATGTTCAGATCCGATCAAAAACATATAAAAATCAATCTGTCTTGATTTAATTAATCAACGTTTTTCTACTGAAAAGACAATGAAAATGGTATGAAGTATTATATTTTTGTATTTTTGCTTGTCGTTTCACGATAATATGCTTGAAAAAAGTGTTTCTAAACACAAACGTTTACTTTGTTTACAATGTTTATATCAGTGAAAAATGCACGACACAAATGGGTAGAGAATATATTCGTGACTTCTTTTCACTGCTCCAGTTAAACCTTCTTTTGAATGGGAAAACATTTATATTACTATATATGATTAGCTGTAATTTTTTCGCTTTTAAGTGACCGAATACATGAGCATTTAAAAAACATTATACACTTAATGTCTGCACCCGAGGGAAATAGTTAGTTTTGTTTTCCCAAGAATCTCAATCTTTCCCAAGACGAAGTCGAGGGAAACATTAAGATTCGAGGGAAAACAAAACTATTTCCCGAGGGAACTTCAACAACATTCATACAACAATTGTATTTCGTGACAAAAACTCTATAGCTCGAGCTAGTTTAAAATAAAAAAAACTTACTTAAACGGTTGCAGCAGCATATCCTGTTGCCTGTTGTGTATTTTTCTTCTCTTTTATATTCTTTATTTGAACATAAACTTGGAAAATCGTAGTTTCTAATTATCTGAGTTGTTCCTCCATTTTGTTTATTTATGTACGTGGCCGGTCGGGGCGGCCAACAATTTTTCGCTTGTTGCCCGGCGGGAAACATTGCATTTATCTGAAGTCACGTGACCACAAATCAGCCAATCACGTTTGGTGTTCACACTAGCTATATAACAAATATATGTTATTTACCGGCTGGGAGGTCCGGATAGAAAAATATTTTGTCGAGGTCTCAAAAACGGCGCGAGACAGAAAGCCGAGGGACGTGTTTGAGACCAAGACAAAATATTTTTCTATCCGGACCGACCTAATCGGTAAATAACGTATTTAATTTTTTGTCGAAGACTCAGAGGCAAATGGCAACGGTTTTATTAGATTGCGCATATAGAAAACAAACCAATAAAAAAAATTTGATATTTAATTATTTTACTTTAGAAAACAAACAATTCAATTAAAATACAGTACAATTATTCTATCCCTCGTCAAAATTATTTCAAAATTACATATTCATATTTTTTAGTTTTAAAACAAACATACAAAAAATATTTGCTTTGCTTCGGGCATTACGTATAAGATTCCGGACCGTGGTCAAATATCGTAAAATTCCGCCTGCTGCTGTAGCCAATCAGATTGCAGAAAACTCTAGGATTCCGCCCGCTGCTGATTTACAAAAAAATAAATAGTTTTCTCGACGTATAAGTTTCATACATGTCAAATAACTGCCGACTTTTTGTCGCATTTTTATCAAAATATTGTCAATTGGCTTGTGAACATCGTGCTTAGTATGAAGCCTTTAGGGCTTGATGCAATTCATTTTCGTATTCTGACTATCGCTAGGCTATGTTTTTCCAACGTTTTTGGCAGATTTTGTCGTTTAAAAATTATTTCACTCCTCAGTTTTTGGCGCGAAAACCAGAGCGGGCAGTTGCATTTCACAGCGGGCAGTTGCGTTTCAGAGCGGGTCGGATGCAAAAAACCGTTCCGCTCTGAAAGGCTTCTCAGCCAATCAGATTGCTTCATTTTCACTGATAAAAAATAAATACAATGTATTTTTGTGTGCGTTTTTGGTGTTATGTACTCAGGTGAATATAATGTTTTTATGTTACTCAGTGTGTATATCCACACCGGGCAAGCTGAAAAGTTAGCCTGACCACGTTGGGAATCAAACCCGCGATCTTTGGGATACCAGTCTAATGCTCTGCCAACTGAGCTACGAGGCCAAGCCTGTTCGAATGTGTGGTATTTCGGAACTATAAAGTCTAGTACCTTCAATACCAATGTAATCTATGATATGATATTCTTGTGTGTGTTTTGGTGTTATATACTCAGGTGAATATAATGTTTTTGATGTTAGTCTGAGTGTATATCCACACCGGGCAGACTGAAAAGTTAGCCTGACCACGGTGGGATTTGAACACGCGTCCTCAGAGTTACATCAAAAACATGATATTCACCTGAGTACATGACACCAAAACACACACAAGAATATCATATCATAGAATACATTGGTATCGAAGGTACAAGACTTAGTTCCGAAATACCACACACTCGAACGGACTTGGCCTCGTAACTCAGCTGGCAGAGCATTGGACTAGTATCCCAAAGGTCGCGGGTCCAATTTCCACCGTAGTCAGGCTATCTTTTCATCCCGCCCTGTGTGGATACACACTCAAAGTAACATCAAACACATAATATATTCAGATTACAGTATAAAAATATAATTTTTCAGATATAGATGCAGGGACGCCGCCCGGAGCGATAAAAAGGCAAAGGGGAGCAAACGCACACCAAAGGGACACCTCTATAGATCGCGGTGAAGATATAAGCCTACAATTATGTGTTGACTTGCCAATGAAAGCAAACGCACTTAATGAGAACACATTCAAGATTACACCTCATGATTTTGCCCAAAAAACATCGCTGGAAATGTGATTTATCAGGTAGTATTTTACAACTCAAAGGGCACTTCTGCCCCCTTGCCCCCCCCCTCCTGACAAAAGGCAAGAGGGGTAGCTGCCCTTCCTGCCCCCCACTCCCCAGTTCCGGAGTCCCAGTATACATGCACAAATGATATTTTGTTACGAATATATATAGTTATACAGGGTGTCCCAAAAAATGTCCCCTGTCATATTTGGTGGTATTACTTCGCTATATTTAATCAAATGTTCAATTTTTTTGCAGTGGGTTGAAAACCAATCATATTATATTAATCGTAGTATTTATCTCACCAAAAGAGTCAACCGTTCGGCTTCTAGAGATACTTAAGTTGGCGACACCAATTTTGCAACCCGTCCAAATTACAGAAATTAGGTTAAAAATAATGCAAACTTTGTAGAAGAATTTATAAAGTTTCTACCCACCTATCTGCTCAAAAAAAACCAACTTTTTTATGTCTAATATTAAACTTTTGTTTTTTGTAGAAATTAATTAAAAAAATGAAAAATCCCCGGCAAATTGACAAAGGCAAAACTAAGGTTGGGAAAATGCCTTACAAATGCTGTTTTTAGTTCAATTTGTTCCATGAAAGAGCAAATGTTGGGATTTCAGCACTATTCGTTCCCCTTTTCTGGGTATTTGCTTCATTATTTTTACAGAAAATTAATTCGTGATTTTGGCTACAACTAATTACAAGTTTTAGAAAAGACATGAAGCCATTTACCATTAAAATAATTTATTACGTTCCGTGACATGTTTAAAGCTAATATCCACAATTTGGACAACTGGCAATATTGGTGTCGTCAACTTAAGTAACTCTAGAAGGCGAACGGTTAAATTTTTTAATGCGAAAAAAATGCAACGATTAACGTAATATGTTCGTTGATAAAAAAATGAAAAAATTTGAAAATTCGATTACAGGTAACGATGTAGTACCACAAAATATGATAGGGGACATTTTTTTGGGGACACCCTGTATACATCCATGCATACTCACAATATTGACATAACATTAATTTTGATTTTGGTAGCTAACTAGCTATACATTCGACATTTTTAGAGCTTTCGGCATAGAGACTATAAAATATGTATTTAAAGCCTGCGCATGGGCGGGCTTTGTTTACGTTTTTGTTTTGATCCACATTAATTATATAAGATAAAGTATGTGATGAGTTCAAAACACGTTAAAGTAACATTCCACATAATTTGTGACGGAGGTGTTACGCCCTCTCAGTCGTTTATCTTGGGTTGCTATGCTTGTTAATCTCCCGCTTTTCGGAACGTAAGATTCGCCAAGTGGCATGCTTACAATCGGCACACAAGTCGTAAGTATTGCTCTATTTTGTATTGCTATATAAGTATATTTTAATCTACCCTTTGTAATTTTAGCTTATTTTGTTTATATTGTAGTTTGACGGTTCGTAGAAGATAATATAGTACATTTTCAAAGTCCTGTCGTCACAGTTGTTGTGTATCTATAACTATAAGATAATTTGATCGGTTATTGGCCATCAGTCCATACGAGCCGTAAGACCTGTGCCGTATTTACACTACCAAGACGGTAGATACAGTCAAAGACTTGTCAATAGTAGCGAGAATATTCTACAAAACTCGCTCGTAGAGCCGAGCGAAGCTATACTACGCGATGCAAAACAAGATGCCTGCGAACAGGCGCCTACAGTACAGTTAACCCGAGAGCGTAAAATGACAGAGAAAGGTAGAGAATATGTCTGTTCGTTGAAAAGAGAAGCGGCCCTCGATATCAAGGAAGAGTTGAAAGAACTGTTTAATTTTGAGAAAAAGATTGCAGATTTCAATGGTGTTGTTGAACTTAATAAACAAATAACATTCTTATCAGGGAAAATGAATTTTGTTAGCAAGGCCCTTGATGAGTGATTGAAATTATCCTTAGATGAGAATGAAATTCGCGAAGTCATAGAAATGCGTACATTTCTGTCCGATAAATTGTTGAGCACTCAGAGCTGGGCTCAAGAATATGCGGTGAAGTTTAGTCAGCAAAAGCAAGAAACAATTTCTACAACATCTCGACGAAGTAATAGCAACAGCAGTCATATAGACTCCTTAGTTAACCTTAAAGCAAGAAAAGCAGCTTTAGGAAAAAGAATGCAATATTTTCAGTTAATATCAGAGCAGAAACGCAAACTTGAGCAGCTAAAGATGAAGGAGAATTTGAGGAATTCTCAGCACAAGAAAGTGTGTATGAAACGCTTACTGTAACATGAAGCATTTTGGGTACCATTTCGAATCCAGCCCTGTCCACAGAGAAATACAATATCATGTCCACCTTTCTTGAAGAAGCCACCAACATAGCCAGCATTCCCACAGAAGAAAGAGTGCCTGAGGCCAAAGTGGAACCAGAAGAGCCACGCTCAGAACATCCCTTTCCCGAGGCACTGATCCAATCTGCATACCAACCTGCTGAGGATCGACCGGATTCATCCCACTTCAAGTGCAACACCCTCTCCACGCAAACAGTCCCCACCTCAAGTGCAACCCCCAATCCACACAGTACAACCACACCTCAAGTGCAACGCCTTTTCCATGCAGACCAGCCCCAACCTCAAGTGCAACGCCCTTTCCATGCAGACCAGCCCCAACCTCAAGTGCAACGTCCTCTCCATGCAGAACAGCCCTCTCCTCAACTGCAGCCCCTATTCCAAGTGCAAACCCCACTCCACACAGTACAACACCCACCTCAAGTGCAACCTCCACTCCATACAGTACAACCCCCACTCCACACAGTACAACCCCCAACTCAAGTGCAACACCCTCTCCACACAGAACTGTCCCCACCTCAAGTGCAACCCCCACGTCAAGCGCAATCCCCACACCACACAGTACAACCCCCACCTCAAGGGCAACGCCCTCTTCACGCACAACAACCCCACCTGAACTGCAGCTTCTATTCCAAGTACAACCCCCACTTCACACAGTGCAGCATCCACCTCAAGTGCAAAGACCCCTCTACGCAGAAGGCGCAATAGCCCCCAGCCAACTGCAGCCCTTATTCCAAGTACAACCCCCCATTCCACACAGTGCAGCCCACACCTCAAACACAGCCACCACTCCACGCAGCTCAGTCCCCACACTATGCAAGCAACCTATCCATTCCATTTAATTCCCAGGTGCCCTTTGGAGCCAGCCGAATCTCCACCCAACATCAATGACTCTTCACACCACACCACCACAAGATGTATCGAATCAGATAGCTGACGCCCATAGGCATAACCCAACGGCAGCGTCTTCCCAAGAGCAAACCAGGGATCTTCACGGGATCGGAAGAAGATAAAACCAGTTTCTTCCTGTGGCAAAATGCCTATGATGCTTTAGTAGACTCTGTTCACATACCTGCCAAGCAAAAGTTGTACTTATTAAATCAACACTTTGCCGGAAAAGCGAAAAAAGTTGTCGAGCAGTTGCAATACATGGTTGAACAGCCAGAGGTTGCTTATACTGAGGCTCGGAAGATACTTAAAGAAAGGTTTCGGAATAACGCGATCAGAAGGCTGGAGATACAAGCAGGCGCCGCCCGCCTGCATCCTTCATTACTTCTCTTGCATCTTCAGTATATGAATCAGGCTCTCACGATTCGCCACCATCCGAGAAACACGACCCATCTAAATATCTTAGACTAGCTACTAAACCAACGATGTCCTGTTTCTACCACGAAAGATCTTCTCATTCTTTAAAGGACTGTGAAAAGTTTCAGAAGTTAAGTTTTCGTGAGCGCATGGAATTTATAATGTCCCATCGGATTTGTCTAAGGTGTGTAAACTCGGACAAGCACATTGCTAGAAACTGTGACCAAAAGGAAGTAGAATGCAAGATTTGCAAACGGAAACATCCCACGTTTCTTCATAATCCAGCAAGACATGACAATAATAATAATGATGACCAAGTAAAGACTTCTTGTACGAAGGTCTGCGGGGAGAATCAAGCGGGACGATCCTGTGCCAGAATTGTCCTTCTTCAAGTATTCCATCAGGATGATACCCACCTACGCTGTATTAGACAATCAGTCTACCGATGTCTTTGTTACAGATGCCTTGTTAGAAAAGATTAACACTGGCGGCCCTCAAATTTCGCTTGAAGTCAACACCATTGTGGAAGTTAACAGCATCCATACCCGTAAGGTATCTGGTCCATGCGTGCAAGACGTCGAAGGTCGACATCAACCCATGAAAGTGAACTATGCTTAATTAATCAAGAGAAGATATACTAGCAGATAAGTACGACATCGCAACACCCGAAATTGCCCGCCGGTGGAACCATCTGCGAGAGATTGCACATCACATTTACTACCGCCCTGACGTAGAAATCTGGATGCTTATAGGCCGTAACGTTCTCACTGCATTCCAGCCGCTTAACATTATCTACGGGAAAGAAGATGAGCCGTGGGCAGAGCAATATAAATTTGGATGGACAATAATTGGAAGAATATGTCTAGACAACAACCCAAGCAGAAATAAGGCAACAGTGAATTGTGTCTCTGTCAAAGACAAAGAAGATCGTCGTGAAACCAAACTGGAAGACCACGCACGTGTCGTAGATAGCTCCCGGAGTAAAGACATGACGTCACCGAAAGAGATAAAAGAAATGATGCAATGGTCGAGGTTGAGAGTAATCAAGCGGGACTTGTAGTTGGGTCGGACATGATGATCGTTGCTGCAGTTGAGGATAAAACGCGTAGCTCGCCTCTGCACACTCTCCAATAGTTTTAGGTCTGCATGACTGAGGAGCCCAGATTTCGCTAGCATAACTTAGGTGGGAGCGCACCAGTGATAAGTATATCGACCTTCTGTGGGCAGGCCCAGTTAAGGTAACGCCGAAGTGTCGTCGTAGGAAGCCAAGTGTCTTGTTTGCTTTGGCAACAACAGAAGAAATTTGGAGGTCCCACGTCAGCTTGTTGTTCACTAACGCCTGTATTCAAAAAGCTCACTCACACTCACACTCACACTTGAGTGTGACTCGAATGAGATGCACTCAAGTAGGGTTGAAGTGCGAGTGAGAGTGGAGTATGAGTGTGAGTGTCCACTCAACGAGGGAGCACTCACCCTTGAAAATATTAGCTAGATTTGTATTCAAAGAGCTCACTCGAGTGCGACTTGCTCGAGTTTGGGTTTGATGTTGATGTAGAAGGTATATTGTAGACTTGTCAATGCATTCGTACGGCGTTGCTGAACAATATGGGTGAAGCTAGATAATATTTTTCGCAATTGGAAAAGTCGCTGTTAACTGAATTAGTGCCAAAGCACAAAGATCTTCTTGAAAATAAAATGAATAATTATAAAACCATACAACATATATTAATTGCATTATCATATTGAATATGTTATTCATAATTTGCGCAAAATTTTGCATTATCAGAATATCAGGGCTTGTCGTACCGCATTGCCCAAAGGTCGGTCTCCAGCATGCATGTCATCTACTTCTTCCTCATCGGCCAGAATATATTCTGGTTCATATAGATATGAAGTTGAACAACACAGCTGTAGCAACAATTATAGTTATAGGGACGTTTGCAATTTTGTGCGAAGGGTCGTTGAAAGACATGGAAATAGCCTTTTCCATACATCACTGGTCCCAAACATCCGTGTTTCGTGTACGTACGTATTTGTGCAACATTATATCTGCGTTGCGGTCGGGTTTGCGATCAATTACTGGTGTCATTAGATATTGACGGCATGGATAACCGTTATCACCAAGTAATATACCCTGGATATCACCACGTTCAAACTGTGCACATATGCGACTATTGTCGAATATTCTGGCATCATGTACGCTACCAGCTGGCCAATTAAGTTGATCCAAAATATCACCTTCAGGAAATGATATGTAATTGTTCCTTAAGCGCGGTGCGATTGCTTCGGATACTCGCTTTATAATTCGACTTGCTGATGCCTGCGAAATCTCACACAAATCTCTGCATGCTAGCTGGAATGTACCCGTGGCGTAAAACCTTAGCGTCAATAAAAGTTGTATATCTGCGGGAATGGGATCTCCTCGCTCGTTGTGTGCAGATCTTTCTGGCCTAATTATATCCAGTAACTCTCGAAATCAAGCCTTAGTTACCTGTTACCCGGTATCTGCATCGAAACCGCTCCTCGTCATATTTCCCATAATCAAAAATATATGTTCTCCTCCTGTCTCTGTTGTCTCTTGCGACATTGTCCAGTAATTCTAACCTTCTTAACCACCTTTCCGCCATATTCGAATCACCAAGTACAAGGTGAGTCTAACTGCTGAGTGCGGCTCAAGGGACGTGTACCTCTCACTCACACTTTACTCAAAATCGGAGCTTCACTTGAGTGTGAGTGGTGTCTTTGAATAGTTGGAGTGTGAGTGTCGCATCAGACTATGTGAGTGTGAGTGGACTCTCATTGAGTGGTGAGTAGCACTCATTGAGAATGAGTGTCCACTCATTGAATGTGAGTGTGAGTGAGCTTTTTGAATACAGGCGTAATGTATTGAAAATCTAATAGCTTTTGTGAAATTGGCAGAAGGTGATTGTCCACTTTCTTGAGAATTTGCGCCCAGCCACGCTTGCATGTTCTGATGATTACACTACGGATGATTTCGTACTATGTACAATCTAGCCGGAACCTAGAACAAACACTTTTCAAATACTTTACAGCTTTTGGGGATACTATATAGTTGTGTATTTAATTAAAATACAAATGCCTCGCACAAGGACTTTAAGTATCGATGTATCCAATCATATTGTATTATGCAGGCAACAATTATGGTGAAGAGTTTGAGCAATTACATTCCAAATTAAAGTAAAATAATTATAGAACCACATGCCGTGCTGGTAATCTTTTCCAAGTATTCGTCTTCCCAGAAGTGAAACCATAACAAATATTTAATTCAGTGCCCTTTAGCACAAATATAACAAACTTTTATGGCACTAATAGCCTACATATATTGGGATTGAAATAAGAAAATACGATAATACCATACAATTTTACCGTCACATAGGCCTACATTGAAGCAAAGCAGTTTTATTGCAGTAGCATGTTCTCCAAAAATAAAAATGAAACCATATTTTCGGCCCTTTCTGATCTCAACTCCGAGCAAAGTCATGTTCTTATATGCAGCTGTCTTAATGTCAACTCATAGGCTATCATGAATATGTTCCATTATATAAGTTACTAACGGTTAATCATCAATTAACAACCCGCTTAAATCAGTTGTTGTTAGCGCCATGTTGCAGCAATCTCGATTGTTGGATTAGGTTCACTTCAAAATAATGGAGAATATAAAACAAGTTCATTAGTTTATAAACATGGAGTATATTCATATTATGTCCAGAGACATAGATGTTATTTATAGATATGCAAATTGTCTTATTTGTGAGCGTTAGGTGCATGTTTGGAAAGTACAGCTGTAGTATGGAAGAGAGAAACCTACCTATAGTATAAAATATATTAAGCATTACTTCTTCGACGTTTCAAGGAAAAGGCCTTTGTCGGCAATCCAGGCCCTTCACTTGAAAATTGCAAGTTTCACTTATATTTCTCATGCTGTTGTGCCTCTCTAACACCGTGGCTGTCTATTACGTATACATTCATTACCTACACGGTTACTGACCATGTTAGGAACGAAAACTCACCCATCTTGTTTTCGACGACCATTTCACAGGGTATAGTGTTCTCAGATTGTCAATAAACTGGCCAAAGCACTTCGCATTGAACGTCCAGTTTATCAGTTTATGAAATAGTACGAATAACACATGCATGCATATATATATATATATATATATATATATATATATATATATATATATATATATATATATATATATATATATATATATATATATAGCTTGAGATTTTGGTTCACGAAACACAAACAGTGCTCAATACCATATAGATAGAGCGTAATATAGTTTTTCGTTTTACCTCAAAAAACCACAACAGTCTGTTTCATCCGTATAGGAATCATCAGGTGGTGATTGATTCCTATACGGATGAAACAGACTGTTGTGGTTTTTTGAGGTAAAACGAAAAACTATATATATATATATATATATATATATATATACTAGAAAAAAAATAATATGGATCTGAATATGGTCATATATTTTGTTTCTAAAATGTCACCGAAGAATTTTGCAGCATGTCGCAAGAAGCGCGCAAAACTCCTACTCGGACATCAGCGATAGAATTACGACTATATATATTACACTGAATATCAATTTATAGCAAGAGACCCAAACAAACGTGCCAAGTGCAATGTCATAATCAATTAATTATATTGGCTTTGGCATATGATTATAAATTAAGCCGTGATAAACATTAAACTTTTAAAGTAGAATCGGATGCACGCTGTTATCGGAATTTTTGACCTGCTCTCGTTTTCAATTAGAAACAATGCCTCTTTTTGCGGGTTTCACTTTTTGGATTCATTTGCATACTACATAGCAACAACACACTTGTCTAACACAAATTAGTAATGCATTTTAAAACGCATTAGTTGCACTTCTCCTTTTTTTGCAATTATGACATCATAGGAGCCGCTGGGAAACTTTTATCCTGTGCCCCACAGAACCGCTTGCCAACCCTGGCTGCACTAGCTCATTTTACTCATGTAAAATAAGATGGATTGTCAATTAATACGTCTGATTTAGTAAATGTGTTGATTATGTGGTGAGTTATAAATTTGAATATAGTAGATGGAATTTGCGAACGAAAACATTATATACAATGTTAGATATACACGAGAGCAGCTGCAAACTTTAGACCCTAGCCCAAACAGGAATCTGACCCATGAGCTATTGAAACCGATTCCTAAAATTTAATGATAAGTCCTTGTGTTTATAATATAAATATGGACATGGAATTACGTTATAGCCGTTGCAATATCACCGTACAATAATTATGTTCTATAATGTATAGTCATATTTTGTCGTCTGTGTTAGAGCATGCAATGATGCTTGCTGCAGATCATTTAATATAACTACATACATTATAAACTATTACAAATAAAGATTATGCTAAAGAAGTTCTTATCTAACCCAAAGACTCATTTCAGAAAAAATAATACCTGGAACAAGGGGGGAATTTCGTTCTCGCCCTCTCAGCCCCCATGCATGCGAACGTACGCCCCTGTAAATGTGGCATGCTTCAAAATGATTGGTGAGCACCGGCGTGTAGTCATTGACAATGATGCTAACCAGCCCATTGCCAGACAATGATGCTAACGGGCCAAACGCAATGTTTCAGATATTGAAATTCGAGCCCTCTGTGCAATTTCCGGTGACAGCGACAGCCTCAAAAGACACGAAATACGTCTCATTTCCAAACTTGCCACCCCTATTGCATCAATGAACGTTTTTCATTTGCCTAACTCTATACTGTATGTCTTTGCCTGTCTAAAGAAGAGATTGAGAGTAATTTTAATTAATACCTTATCCTATAATATTTTCGCTCGCTACTCTGGTACATAAAACGTACGTTTTCTCAATGATTGCCTGAGACCATCTGTGTGTAAAGCCCTGATTCCACGAGCGCTTTTTGTCAGCGAAATGCGAAATATTCCGCCTGTTTCTTTTGAATTGTGAGCAATCAAGCAGAAATAATTTATTCCAGTTGTCGCAATTCAAAAGAAACAGGCGAAATATTTCGCATTTCGCCGAGAAAAAGCGCCCGTGGAATCAGGCCTTAAGAACCAAAATAACTCCGAGGGTGAAAACTCTTCCAAAGGATATGCCATAGTTCCATACATTCATACCTTTATTTATAAAAACCGGAGTAGCGAGCGAAAACATGATTGGTATACCCATTCTATACTCGCATGTATATTTGTCCTAAGATCTTCTCTAATGCGATTTACATTTGGGTTGGAATAAAACGCGGATACGGACGGACGGACACGCGAACGGATAGGCGGACGGGTAGGCGGACGGACGGACGGACAAAAAGGATAACATGCGCATGCGGACAAGAGGGATAAAATGCGGATGCGGACAAAAGGGATAAAATGCAGATGCGGAGAAAAAGATTAAAATGCGGATGCGGACAAAAGGGATAAAATGCGGATGCGGACTGTTTCATTGCCCTAACATAATTCGTTATTTCGGAGACACAATTCATAGACTTAGTACACGGTAAACTCCAGCTGGAGTTCCAGCCGCTTGCCGAAAATGCATTGTAATTTCACTTTAGTTAGTATATGCAAGGTCATAGAGAATTGCATTGGGTTTTTTCTCCCTGTAGTAAAATACCATCACGGTGGTGTTGATTTCCGGATGAAAACAGTGTGAATGCAAGATAATAATATAAGAAATGCACAGAGCTAGTGCTGATGCCTAACCCGCGATATATTTTACGGAAATTCCAACGCATAAATATATAACAACAAGGTATTTACAACAGGTATTACGAATGTAATAATAAATATTAAAATACATGTAGTTATGCAAGCCGGAGGCTTTGCAGTAAATAATTGCTCCAGGTATGAACCATGCTGACTATTCAAATTACCGAGCTACAGAATGCATTGACCGATTACAAATAGTGACAAGGCAAATAGTGACTTTAAAGAAATTTCTATAAATATTTAAGACGATTACTGTTAGACGTACATCCAGGCTCTAAATAGTTACTTTCAAGAAAAATGTAGATACATAGATGTTTATTTACCCTAATGACTACAAACGTTTAAGTTGTTAACTGTTGAAAGTACCCCCAGACTCTGTTCTCAGAGTACATTAGGATACACTAAAAGCTTTAGAAAAACAAAAGCATGGCTACTGTAAATACTGATGCTCGTTATCACTTTAAAAATGTTTGATCAAAATTGGCGAGAAGGCACGGTA